GGACTCCTCAACCCCCCTATGACAACTACTTGTACTGCGACCGCTCCGACTTCGTTAACAAGCACAACGAAAAGTGGTACAGCCAACGCAGAGAAAGCTTCTGAGGATAAACCGAGTAGCCAGGATGTGAAAAAAGAAACTCTCTCAGAAGAGAAGCCTGGTCCTAGTTCGTTTTCTAATCAGACAGAATCCGCAATAACTACCAGTAGTCCTGTAGCTTTTAACCCGTTCCTTATCCCAGGGATGTCTCCTGGACTGATCTATCCCTCGATGTTTCTTTCCCCTGGCATCGGCATGGCGCTGCCCGGCATACAGCAGACCAGGCACTCGGAGGCAGCCAACCTGGAAAGCCAGAAACGGAAGAGAAAGAAAGCGAAAGGGGAGACGGCAAACCCAGAGCCAGAGACTGTCCCACTGCCGGAGAAGGAAGCTGCAAACAGTCAAAACTGTACGGAGCAGACACCACCGTCCTCGGCAGAGAAGGAGCAGGAGGGACCAGCGGAGCCGGAGCGCGAAGCGGCTCGCGATCCCAATTAGAACTTTTTGTTTCTCAATGAAAAAAAAACACAAAAAGATTGTGGCTTGTGAGTTTCTTATCCCATAAACTCTTTGTTACTTCCCCTCCCGCCCCGCCTTCATAAACCTGTGTTTCCATGAGTAATATTATCTACCTAATTCCCTGTCAGAAAGAAAGAAACCTCTGGTGACATACTACATGTTAATAGTTGCAGGGTCTTGCCACTTTATTAGATAAACAGTGTTGTCTAGCTAGTATGGGAGGCACCGAATTCTCATTCTGTTTTTCCAGTCGTTCATCCCAGCCGACGATAGCAAATCCAGTACTCGGTCACACACAGCCCCCCCCTTCCCCCCGAAATTGCTCACTCCTTTGAGAAGAAAAAGCAGCAAAAGAAAAGTCTTTACCTCTTGGTCTACACGCAGACAAGGGTATTTCTGTCTACAGCGACACTGAACGAAAAAGCCTGTATTTGGGGGTAAAAAGCACAGCTATAGTAAGTGCTAATGTGTATTTTTTTGATTTAAAGTATTTCCCTATTTTATCATGGTTACTAGAATAGTAGTATAGACAGAAGTATATAACTAATGATTGAAAATGCATATATTCATTTCTTTGAAAGGAAAAAAAAATAAGCATAACTGGTAGTGATCTAATTTCTTTATCATGCCCCCACCTCAAAGGTTTGGAGACAAACTGCAGCGAGTGAAAATAATGACCTAGACATTCTTTTGTACTTCTTAAAACCAAAGTTTGGTTTTGCATTAAGTGGAGTTTAGTTGCCCTTTCCTCGAGAGCTCCAAGAACTTTTCAGCTTGAGCTGGAAAGGTTTTGCACATCTTGCATGACTTTTTTGGGATTACTGTACCTGTAGCTACCGGTTTCTTCATCGTTCTGCTCGTCTTCAGTTCTCCTCTATGGCGTTAGTTCTCATCTATGGCATTAGAAGTGCTGTAAAGGTGTTTTTTTTCCAGCCGTGAACAGGCCACACTGATTTTAATGCTCGTATATGAACATTATATATACGTTGGTGGAGGCTTTCTGAGTTTTTATATTTCCCACTCCTTACCCTAGAAGCAACGTCCCTTCAGCAGATGAGGAGCAGGCTGTAGGCCAGCTTTCCTCTGTGGGGAGTCCTCTAAGGACTGTCGAGACTTCCATAGCTCAAGTTTCTTCTTTTCTAGCATTAGACTGTGAAGAGATGACCTTGGCTTCTTCTTTCCATTCCGTTTGCTGTTGAACAGTATTTCCTAGTCCCCCCGCCCTCCACTGGCAAATGATTATGTCTGCATTTTAAACGGACAGATTTTAATGCCGTCAGCCCCCCGCAGCTCTGGGTACTGAGACTCTGCCACAAGCAACTTCTCCTTCCCCTTCACTCCTCGTGTAGTTCTTCTTTCACTTGGGCTTGTTCCTATTTGCAGCTCATGGTTTGAGACTTGAAACAAAGCCGCAGTGGTGCAGCGTGAGATGAAAGGCAGGCTGGTGAGGGAGTTGGGAGTGTGCTAGTAATCGGTTCCACACTTGGTTGTCACAATTTACTGTATTTTTTACTTATTTTCTGTTACAGTTTTGCTAATTTATCAGATGGTCCAAATGTTTTGACATAACTATTTCAGTTTGCATTATTTATTTATGATGCTTTTTGTCATTGTCTTTTATACATTTGGGATTATAAATTATGTACATGTTAAAATTAGCATCTCAAAGAAGTCTGTTACCCATGGTCTAAAAAGCATTTGGTTTCTATTTTCACGGAATTTATTCCCAGTTTTCTGGATTGGATGATTTTAAGTATGTAACCAATCATAATGCAACCCCCCCACACACCCCCCTGATAATTAAATGTGTTCTATTTAATAACATCCTTGTAGCATAGATACTGTATCACTATCGACAGATTTCTTAGAAATGCTGCTATCTCTATTTAACTAACATTTTGTTCAGTTTTGCCTCCAGTGGAAGCAGAAAGGGTTTTTTCAGCTGTTAAATCCAAAATCAATATAATTTATTTATGTAAAAAAAAAAATAATCACAATTGATATATTTTTGAACCTTTTAAGTACTAACTTTCTTTTTATTCAGTAGAAGAACATGTACTTGCCCTAAATCCTTAAAATACAAATGCTATAAAACTTCATATATCTTCAAAGCCTTACTGTGAATGGATACAGCAATCTCTTCAGAGTCCATTTCTTGTTACGGGATGGTTTTCCCAGGGTTACACGCATTAAGGAACAGGGTTTAAAGTGACATTTATTTACTTAGCCAGCATGCTCTATACCTTGTTCTTCCTTATCAGACATGTATGCTACGTCTCTGGGTGTTCAGGCTTCTCTTTGACTGCTGCTTTGTGACCCTTTCGCAACCTGATATACTCTGTGGATTATTTAGACTGTAAGGCCTAAGTGGCTTCTTCTTCTTTTCCATCATTTCCAAAACCAAATGCCAAATCCTCACCGGTTTTCATGGCTACTCACACAAAACATAACATCCTTCACCAAATGTGCTAACAAAATAAACTGTCTGTGCTCTTGAACATGGATAAAAAGAGAAAAAAAAACAAGGTTTAAAAGTCAGATTTTTATTTTTTTAATTTAGTGACTAGATGATGCTTATCTGTCAGACTTGGCAGAGCCTTGCTACAGATGTATATAATCTTTTTTCCAGCAAATATATGTGAATGTTTAATTCACCTGACTCAGTGATAAACGTGACTTGCCTTTTTCTCAGCACGAATCCATTGAGCAGCTGTTGAACCCAGTGGAATTCTTCCATTCTCGTGCATGTGAGATGTGATTTGCTCCAGGGAAGGGCTGTTTGCAGCTGGCTCATGGCTTTCCCTGCCATAGAATGAGGTTATATGGGGATAATCTCCTTCTGCGGCCAGCAGCACTCACCCAGCACTGGGGGGGTTAACTCAATGTGTGTGGGGTCAGTCACTGCCCCCCATGGGCTGTTTGACCAATGAAGCAGCACAAGCTCCACCACGGAGCACAACAGCTCTACTGACCTGCTTCATCTGGGTGATGGGTAGAGGACCAGGGACCAGGCATGAGACTCCTCCCCATGCCAGTTAGTCCTGGCACTTAGGTGACACCTCGCAGCAGAAGAGGTGCTCAGTTCCTCCATGCCTTGTAAAATCCTAAGAGGTGCCAAATAAATGCTTGTCATAAGCAAGGATCTCGTGCTCTAGAAGAGTAGGTGTTAATTCGGGTTTTAAGATGAATAAATGCATGCACAGGAAAAGCTTTAAGGTCCAGGAAAAAAGGCACAGAGGGAAAAACAAGGGTCTTTGCTTGCTCTTCCTGCCCTTGCCTGAATACCTTGTTCTGGCATTTTGCTGCTGCTTTTATTTGGACGGAGGAGCAGGAAAGTACTGGCAGAAGAGACATCTTGGATGGGGACAGAGGAGGCAAAACAATGGTGTGAACTCTCCAGTTCCTCAGACTCCCTTTAAGTTCACTGCAGCCTTCCCCCCCAGCATTGGGAATGCAGGCTATCTGCTCGATGGATCTGCAGCCCCAGGTACAGAGGAGCAGTTGTGCTGGTGTTGATGTGCTGTGTCTCATCAGAGGAGTGTGTTGCCCACTTTCTAGTAGGAGGTGAGTGGACCTGGTGGTGGAGAACGGGCATGGTGGGCACAGCTCGCTCTGGGTTTTGTTTTGCAGGATAGAGGTGCCTTTCCTTTAACGTGAGCGACTGAAACATCCTGGAGCTGCTCATCTCTGCACTCCTGTCCCTGATTCTCATCTCAGGACGCAGGCAAGTATCATCCCATATTTAGGCAGAATCTGTCGTTCTCTTTATGGACACCGATCTTTCACGGGGGAGCAGATGCACAAAAAACAAAGCTTGGGTCCCTCCAAGGAGTGCACATCTTTGTTCCTGAAGAAGTAACTATGCGTGGGGCTTGCTCTGCCATGTTTCTGCCCCACCACCTTCCAACAGCTGAGAGAAGGTGGAACACCCGCAGCCGCAGCACCTGACCCAAACAGAACCATTAGGTGGTGGTTGAAGTGTCCTCTAAGACACGCTGGATGGGGCTTGGAGCAGCCTGCTCTAGCGGAAGGTGTCCCTGCCCGTGGCAGGGGTCGGAACTGGGTGAGCTTTAAGGTCCCTTCCAAGCCAAACCAGGCTCTGTGGTCAGGCTGGAACCACCTCCCCTGCCTGCGCTGTGGGCCCCGGCTCTCACAGCCTCTTCGAGGGGCTGCAGGAGCTGCCCCGGCCCGTGGGGACGGTGCCCACACGCGCTCCAGGCCCAACCTCGGCGCTCTCGAAGCGCTCCCGCCACCAGCACCGCGTGGACGCCCTGAGGCCGGGCCTGATGCCTCGGAGCGAGCTCCCGGCCGAGCCAACACAACCGTGCGCGACGGCAGAGCGCGAGCACCCGCGGGGCCGCTCCGCGACACCCCACGACCGGGACACCGCGCCACAGGGGCGAGGCCCCGCCCCTCTCCCCAAGCCCCGCCCCTCTCCCCTCACGGCGGAAGCCGCCGCTCCCTTCCGGCGAAGCAGTTTTGGCGCGCGAGCCGGGCAGGGCCGCGCCCGCCATGTCCCGCCCGGAGCCGCCGCCCGCCGAGCCCGGCGCCGCCATCGAGCGGCTCTGCCAGGAGCTCAACCTGGACGCGGCCAGCGCCGCCGAGGCCCTGCGCGACTTCACGGCGCTGCGGGGCACCTACAGCCTGGAGGTGAGGGCGGGCGGGCCGGGCGGCGGGGCCGCGTCCTGTCAGGGAGCGGAGTGGGGCGGGCGGGGCCGGGTCCTGTCAGGGGCGGGGCGCGGCCCCCTCCCGCACCTCCCCGCATCGCGCCGTCCGTGTCCCGCAGGGTGAGCCGCTGCACTGGCTGGCCTGTGCCCTCTACGTCGCCTGCCGCAAGAGCCGGGTGCCCACCGTGGGCAGCGGCCTGATGGAAGGGAACGCCGTGTCGCTGACCAGGATCCTGCGCTCCGCCAGGCTCAGGTGAGCCCCCCCCTGCTCCGCTAAGGGCTCTCAGGGCAGTGAACGGCCGACATTAGATACTAGGAAGGAATTCTTCCCTGTGAGGGTGCTGAGGCGCTGGCACAGGGTGCCCAGAGAAGCTGTGGCTGCCCCATCCCTGGCAGTGCTCAAGGCCAGGTTGGACACAGGGGCTTGGAGCAAGCTGCTCCAGTGGAAGGTGTCCCTGCCCGTGGCAGTGGGTTGGAACTGGATGAGCTTCAAAGTTCCTTCCAACCCAAACCAGTCTGGGATTCCGTGATAAGGTTCCTACCAGCTCGAGAACCCGCTGCTGTTCTCACAGCCCCGAGCGCTGCAGAACGCGTGTCCTGAGGTACCGGTGTAAAAGCAATAAATCTTCTTGTTGGAAAGGGAAACAAGATGCAAATCCTTGCCTTTCAACTTCAGGCCTTTGAAGAACCACCCGTGTCAGCGCAGCAGTTGTTCCACCCACGTCAATTATTTCTTTTCCTTTTTGTAGTTAATTGAAGCACAAACAAGACCTGGCTGTCCCATTAGCGATCCAGACTTGAGTTGCCAGCGTACACCTACAGCTAATGGGTTTTGTGTAGGTAACAGGCACGAACCCGTGTTTGTGGTTTCACTGCTTCCCCCTCCGCACACTTGAAGCCGCTTTTCCCTTCCAGCCCTACTATACCTGACACGGCTGTGCTTGCAGCCTTCAGATACAATCAGCGATTCCATGCCTGTGCCATGAAGGGTCAGGGAGAAAAGCACAACAGGAGGTGAAAAGCTTACAATACATGCAGCTTAGGAGTCTACTCAAATAAACAGTAAACCTATATGTTGATCAGATTAGTTGTTAAGGAGCAAATATATTGTATTTTGGCCTTTTCTTTTTCTTTAACTAGACTAAAGGAAGCGAGATAAAGCTCAAAATAAAGCAGACTTTCCTTCTTTCTTTTAAGTCTAATTCAGTTTTTTAGCAAAATGAAGAAGTGGATGGACATGTCAAATCTACCACAGGAATTCCGAGAGCGAGTGGAGAGGCTGGAGAGGAATTTTGAAGTGTCAACTGTGATTTTCAAAAAATTTGAACCAATATTTTTGGATGTATTTCAAAACCCTTACGAAGAAACTTCAAAACCACAGCGAAGCAGGAAACAGAGGTATTTTTTGAGGTTTCATGTGACTTTTCTTTGTAAAGGGCTATACTTAATGTGAAAATCTGGAGAGAGTCTTTTTACAAGGGCCTGTAGGGACAGGACAAGGGGAATGGCTTTAAACTGAAAGAGGGTTGATTGAGATGAGCTCTTAGGCAGAAGCTCTTCCCTTTGAGGGTGCTGAGGTGCTGGCACAGGGTGCCCGGAGAAGCCGTGGCTTCTCCATCCCTGGCAGTGTTCAAGGACAGGTTGGACGGGCATCCTGCTCCAGTGGAAGGTGTCCCTGCCCGTGGTTGAGCTTTATGGTCCCTTCAGCCCAAACCAGTCTGGGATTCTATGATCGTGCTTTAAAAAGTGATGTAAAGTTCCAAATCGGCCGTGGGAGGGCTCTGTTAGAAGTGTGGCAGCAGCAAAATGATGCGTTTGGGGTCACAGGCCTGTGGCAGCCATTAGCTCAGGAAAGGGCCAGAAGGTTGGGGATGCGAAATGCTCCATGGAGTGAGGTAAGAGACTGTCAGTCAGTGGAAGCTGCAATAAGGACATGTAGCTTAGATTGTGATGCACCTGGTGCAAAATGAAGGTAAGACAGCAGCTGTGTTTTTTGAGCAAGGAAATGGAATGAAATTCTTACTGTAAAACAGGTTCCAGCTTCCTGGAACTGAAGACTGACTTCTCCCCACTCTTCCTTCTTGACAGGCGGATGCCCTGCAATGTTAAAGATCTCTTCAACTTCTGCTGGACTCTCTTTGTGTACACCAAGGGTAGGGCCTGCTTTTCTTAGCTGCATGGTTTGTACACCTTCCGAGTTATGAACCGCTCTTGTGTTGCTTGACATGATGTGCTGTCTCTTAAAGGTAATTTCCGTATGATTGGAGATGATTTAGTAAATTCCTATCATTTGCTTCTGTGCTGCTTGGACCTGATTTTTGCAAATGCCCTATTGTGTCCAAATAGAAGAGATTTGCTAAATCCATCATTCAAAGGTATAGTGGGGACAGATAATTTAAAATCAAATATGCTTTGTTCTCTTAGTGCTTTTCAAATGAAGTTAAAAGGAGTCTTTCTTCACCTTCCTCCTTTTTCTCAGGTTTACCAGCGGGCTTCCGGATGACAGAGATCAAAGCCTCTGAAGATCCTCCTTGCATCATTGCCACACTCTGTGAGCTGCATGATGGGCTTTTAGTAGAAGCAAAAGGAATAAAGGAACACTACTTTAAGCCATACATTTCAAAACTGTTTGATAGGAAGGTACATCTCAGTAGTTTTAAGAATGCACTGTAGTGCTCAGATGCTCAAAACAACTCCTATGGGTCCTGCAGGAAAATGTACTAATAGGCAAGTGGACTCAGGCTGGGCTAGGTTTTCTTTGCATGTATTTTAGCAGAAGCAGAATTTACTCTTTACTCTTAATGATGTGTGCCATAAAGTTCTCTGTGTTTTGCCTTTTTCTGTCAGCAGAGAATCTTTGATTTCCTTTCTTGGCAGTGGGAAACTGATTTGTGGTCAATAATGATTTGTTCAGGCAAAAATGTAATCTCATTCTGAAATGATTGTATGGAATAACTGCCACTATGCTGTGGGTCCTCCTGCTTGCATTCAGCAAAATGCTTTGGCAGGAAGAGGTTGAGGTTGCAGGTGGACAGTTTATTCTCTCTGGTTTTGGCCCTGACAGTTTTTTCCAAGCTCTGTGGAAGTTTTAGTGTAGTCACTCATCAGTGCAGTCCCGAACCTTCCAATGGAGCAGATGTTAAAAGCATCACTGTGAAGACTGAGTTTATCAATAGCTTGGTTAGAACTGGGCTTTGTCCTCATCTATTTGTCTTCCTAATGGTATTGTAGTCCTTTGGGCTAGGCAAAAATAAAAGGTCCAGTTATGCTCCTAAGTTTTATTTTCTTTTTGGCTAAAACCATCATGCCCTGTGACAGTTGGAACAGTTTTCATTTCATTATGTAAAATATTTCTGCTTTTTATTCTTAGATTTTAAAAGGAGAATGTCTGTTGGATCTTTACAATTTCACTGAAAATAGGTAAGTTACAGCTTATGTTCTGAATCTTGAGGTAGATTTAGATTAGATATTAGGAGGATATTCTTTACCATGAGGATGCTGAGACGCTGACACAGGCTGCCCAGAGAAGCTGTGGCTGCCCCATCCCTGGCAGTGTTCAAGGCCAGATTGGACACAGGGGCTTGGAGCAAGCTGCGCTAATGGAAGGTGTCCCTGCCTGTGGCGGGGGGTTGGAACTTTGAGGTCCTTTCCAACCCAAACCAGTCTGGGATTTCTGTAATACAGGTTTTCCTGTTCCTTTACCTTAGCGTAACTAATTGTTTTTAATTATTTGACAGTCAAAGCTGTTATCTGGCTGAAATTATTTCTGGATCTGACGTGTCAAATGTCAACTGCGGAGTTTCTTCCTTAGTGTCAGGTTTTACGGTGCTTGCCCTTATTTTCTGGCACGTGTAACCTTTGAGTAATCTAGTGCAAATCAGAACCTTGCCTCTGAAGTTCATGGATATGTTTCTATACACACCATCAAATATTGTACCTAAGTAGGGAAGTCTAGATTCCTGTGTCAGTCTCCAGCTGCGTGTATAAATCTGTGAATGTAACTAAAGTACTCAAAAGAAAAGGAAGCAACAATTGCAAAACCACAAAAAAGAGGTAGAGCTTTTCTGCGGTGAGTGTGTAATTGTTTCAGAAACATTTTAAATTCTGAAAACTAATTTAAATGCAAAATACGAACAACGGCTGCTTTTTCTGCATCCCTTAAAGGTGGGTTTTTTTTTTCCTCCTTTTCCAAAAATACCCAGTAAGTTGTTTTTTCAAGGTGAGTGCTGGTTTGCTTTGAGAATTTTGAGTGAAGACTCAATTATTTTAACAATGTAGGTAACACTCAAATGTAGATATAAAGTGGTTTTGCTGTGATCTGTTTGAAGCAGTGAAACTTTCAGTATTTCTACTTAAAAATTAATAGCATTACTTCAATAATACTGTGATGTGGAAGCATATGAGTAGTCCCTATTCTTTCCTAAGTAGCTTGATGTCTAAAGGAAGCATGGAAGCCTTTCTGTTTCTTTGTCCAAACTTGGTTTGCATGCAGTTTGCTTGGGGTAATGAAGTTTTGTTGTTCACTGCTGCTGAAAGTAATCAGTGCTTTGAACACACCTTGGTTTCCATTTTGTACCTTGTCTCCACTGGCATCTTTTTATTTTCAGCAGTTTAACCTTTGATGTAAACCCTGGACTTCTCTTTCAGCAAAGCCCTGAATAAAGAGTATGAGGAGTATGTTCTGACAGTGGGTGACTTCGACGAGAGGGTTTTCCTCGGCGCTGATGCTGAAGAAGAAATTGGCACGCCTCGAAAATTCCCTGTAGATATACCAGTAGGGAAAACAGCAGCAAGAGCTCATGTGGAGAGTCATCTCCAGCAGCATTTTGAAAAGGTGATTTGTTTAACCTGTTGATCTCACTGGAAGTACTCCTTCAAGTATTTTTATCCTTGTATGCTATTTGAATCTTTGAGGGGACTTTGAATTTCTCGTTCCCGAGAGGAAGATGATGAATGCTATTCGCAGGCTTCAGTCTGCTTTCCTGTGAAATTCAGTAAATAACTATTCCTTAAACAGGATCAGAGACTCATGGAACGGTTTGTGTTGGAAGGGACCCTAAAGGTCATCTGGTTGCAACCCCCTGCCATGGGCAGGGACACCTTGTACTAGAGCAGGTTCCTCCAAGCCCTGTCCAACCTGGCCTTGAACGCTGCCAGGGATGGGGCAGCCACAGCTTCTCTGGGCACCCTGTGCCATTGTTGAATTTACAGGTGTTAAGATTTAAAGTCTCATTTTCTTATATTTTACTTAAAGAAAACCCAGACAAAACCCCTCTGAGTTAATTTCAGTCTGCCAGGAGATTTGGGATTTTTTCTATTGATGGAATCCTGGGAAAATCTGAGCTAATTGTGAGTCAGTTTTGAGATCAGTTTTGATGTCAGCCTTCAGGTAGCATAATAATGAGATGCTCATTGGAAAGGTTTTTGAAACAGTTTTTTTGCCTGATTTTTAGTTATTATTTTCTCTGACAGAAAAGGTCATTTGCCCCTTCAACTCCCCTGACTGGAAGAAGATACCTACGAGAAAAGGAAGCTGTCATCACCCCTGTTGCTTCAGCAACACAAAGTGTGAGCCGGTTGCAGAGCATTGTGGCTGGATTGAAAAATGCACCGAGTGAACAACTCATAGCTATTTTTGAGTAAGTACATCCACTGCAGCTGCTCTCATGGAAAGGGAAACTCATCTTTTCACTCCTGTGACTGCTTTCTTGCTCAAATTTGACTTTTGTGTGGTGCAGAATGTTTTTGTCTGTGTTTCTGTATTGTTTCTTGTTGAGCAGTCTTCTGTTTTATAGATGATCTCATCTTCTGGAGGAGAGCTGAACACACACACCCACTCCAGTTTGTTACCACTAATGTATTAATGTACTTTCAGCTTTTGCTAATGTTAATTTAGCTGCTTGCTTGAAAGCCAAATGCTTTTTTGTTTGCTTAAACTTAAGTATGGCTCAATTAAAAGATACGGTAACTGTTGGCAGAGGTTTTCCGGGAGGAAGGTAATGTTAGTTAGCAAGGCTTTAAGTCTTTCACTTAAAGAGTTGGCATATATGTGCTTGCCTGTTGTAGCATCCTTCCTACCACCTTGCTCCTAGCAGATACATTTTTTTTTTTTCTCCTGAGCTCTTGCTTTCTTCTGCATTTGTTCCAAAATCTGCATAGCCTCTCAACTCTATTAGGAAAGTTAAAAAGGGAACAATATTCCTGTATGTTTTGTGTTTTCCTCTGTTCTCCATGGGAAAGCTCAGTATAAGCAGCTTTGCTTCTTTTTATTTGGGTGGTATTTTTTGTTGTTGTTGGGTTTTGAGGCTTGTTTGAAACTTGACTTTTGTTTATACAAGCAAGGCTTTTCTTTTTGTGTTCTGCTGCAGGTCTTGTGCACGCAGCCCTATGGAAAGCATTATGAGCAGAGTGAAAGAAATAGGTGAGAAGTTCTGCTGCAGCTACACTCAGTCAACAGATGAACAGCCAGGATCACATATAGGTATGGACATGAAATGCATTGGGATGTTTCTGAATATTAAATCAAGGCAAATGACATGCATACATATACTGTCACTAAAGTATGTAATACAGTGGAGCTATTTTTAACACAGAACATATCCAAACAGAAAACTGTTGCTGTCAAACAGAACACTTGAAAGAATAAAAATGTACTACAGAGAAAATCCAAGGCTGAAGATCAGAATGGGATAACTGAAACTTTAGCCGCTCCTAAACATTGTAAACTTGCTTTCTTCTTGGATTAGAATTTAAAGGGAATGGAACATGAATAGGAAAATTCTAATTGCAACTGTCTGCAAAGTTATATCACTAGAAATATTAAAATACATAATCCTTCAAAACACTTTGAGAGTTTCATGCTATTCTTGTCACCAGTGGACTTCTAACCATACTTTTTTGAGTTGCAGTCTGTACACACACACGTGCACTATTTTCTCACAGAAGGACAAATAGAAGGTCAATTTAGTCTAAGACTGCTTTTGCAAACAGTATTGGGCTTCATCTCTTTTGGTTTTAAATTTCAGATTTTGCTGTAAACAGATTAATGCTGGCAGAGATCTTATACTATAAAATCTTGGAGACTATAATGGTGCAAGAAATACGAAGACTGCATGGGAAAGATTTGACTGTAAGTGAAGAACTGGCAAAAGAGGACAACACTTTTTGTAACCCTCTCTGGGAGGGTTTTCTTCAGACAGTTCCAGAACAGAATAGCCTGCAGGAAAGCAATTTGTGTGCATTGTTACTGTTAAAAAAGGAGGAACATATGGGAGGTGCCTAAAGGCAGTTTTTATTGCTATTAAAAATGGTATAGTTCTGGCATAACCATCTTAGTTTGTGTTGCCTTCTGGAATTGTGACTTTATGGATAGATAACTTTTACTCCTACCTAATGTACTTATCATTAGATAGAAATGCTTTTGCTCTGCTTTGTGACTCACAATAAGGAGGCCAGATCATTTGGTTATAATCTGAAAAATGTGATTATTTTGGTGCTGTTGGTCTTCTTACAGTCTTTACCATTCTGAACTTCCCTGTAAAATGAGTTTGTGGAACGTAGGAGAAAGAAGTAGCTCCTCTCTCCAGCAATAAGCTCTGTAGTATTAGTGCCACAAAGCTCAAACTCCCATTTCCCAAACCTCAGATCACTGACATCTTCTGTAATCTCCTCAGGCTCTCTTGGAACAAGATGTCTTTCACCGCTCTCTCATGGCATGCTGCTTGGAGATTGTGCTTTTCGCATATAGCTCACCTCGGACCTTCCCCTGGATCATTGAAGTTCTTGACCTCAGGCCATTCTATTTCTATAAGGTAAATAAATACTGCCTTAGGACTGCAAGATGCTGGTTTTCAACCCTTTTTGCTGTGGGCTGCTTGTCTGAACGGAAGGAAAGCTTAAATATTGGGGTATATCCTCCAGCCTAAGGGGATATACCTGCTTGTATCATCCTAGGTCTGCTGCACATGCTGGGTGAGCAAAGCAGGTTCTTACTGCTTTTGTTTTGTACATGTTTAGCAGTTTGAGACAGTGCCTTAAGTAAATCCCTGGGAGTGGGTTGTTCTGCATTGATGAGATGTTTGCTGTCTACTTCCAACCCTTTGATTGCTTTTGGGGAAGGGTTTAAAACCATCAGAAGAGGGCTGGGGAAGATTAAAATGTGAGGAGGAGGCTGGAGCATTCATTGAAGAGAAGTTTGAAACAGAATGCAGAAACAAATAAGGATCTGAGTGTTAATCATGAATACTATGACTTTCATGTGTCTTATTACCATTAGGTAATTGAAGTTCTGATTCGGTCTGAGGAAGGACTTTCCAGGGACATGGTGAAGCACCTCAACAGCATTGAGGAACAAATTCTTGAGAGCCTTGCCTGGACTCAGGACTCAGCGCTCTGGGATGCCCTCCAGGCATCAGATAACAAGGTCCCAACCTGTGAAGAAGTATGTTACCTCTTTTTTTTTAATTAGGAAATTCATGCTCTTTTTCTTACTGTTGTTTTATACTGAGAACTGTTCAAATGAGACAATTGCTGCAGGAAAACCTTCTATGAATAGATTAGCACAAAGAAGAGAAATCTATTTGTTGTCTTAACACTGACATTAACATTTCTTCTTTCTCAGGTAATATTTCCCAGTAATTTTGAAGCAAGTAATGGAGGAAGCGGATTTGGGCATTTGCCTATGATGCCAGTATCTCCTATAATTCATCCCCGGGTAAAAGAGGTTCGGACAGATCTTGGTGGGAGTCTAAGACGGGGTATGTTCAAGGTTTCTGATACAATTTGAATGTGTGAATTTGAGGAGAGGAGGTTTAGACTTCTTTATAATTGCAAAAAGCCATCTTGAATCTGAATTAAGCAGTCAAAATTGTGAAGCCTCTTTGATCAAGGGAAAGCCTAACTGTATGTGTTCAGAGGAATAGCACTTGCAAATATTACTTATCTCCTAAGCAGACTGGAGTGTCTGTAATCCTGTGTGTTCCTCAGTTTCTTCTGCAAGCTAGCTTGGTTACTCTTGTCTTCCATGTGGCACCTGATTGTGAAACTGAGCTGTCTGGGACAGCCACGAAGTAAAAGGAGACAGTTAAACTATAGGTCTTGTTCATATCACCCAGGAGCAGTGAATTGGGAGATCAATTACTAGAAGCAGTTTGAAGGTTAACCTTTCCTCCTCCTGTGGATAAGCATTCACATGAAGCTGCTGCCCTTTTGTTTTTTGTTTCTCCTCTGTGTGCCAGACATGCAGCCATTGTCCCCAATATCTGTTCATGAGCGCTACAGTTCTCCCATGGCTGGAAGTGCAAAAAGAAGGCTCTTTGGAGATGACACCCCCAAAGAAATGCAGATGGAAAAAGTTTTAACTGAAGGAACTAAGTTGACAATTGCTCCAGCATCAAGCATTGCTGCTGAAAATGTGTCAGCTTCTCCTGGCCAAACAGTGCTGACTATGACCACAGCTACAGTCCCAGGAAAAACAGGACAGAAGATCACCATCCCACTGCACGGTACGAGTTCTTCCCATTTGTCTTCTCTACTAGATATTAGTTTAAATCTAGATTAAGTGTTCTAATCTCTACTAGATTAAGTGTTCAAGGCCAGGTTGGATGGGGCTTTGAGTAACTGGGTCTTGTGGAAGGTGGCCCATGGCAGGGGGTTTGAACTAGATGGTCTTTAAGGTCCCTTCCAACCATAATGATTCTATGGTTCTGTATTATGCTCGCTCTTAAGATCTGCTTAGACCGACCGTGTATCTTGTACATGTATTGCTTAATCGTTTTAAAAGAACATATATCACTTTATCCAAAAAAAAGCTCAAGCTCATACTGACATGTCTTCCCGTGGAGGCTTCTGATACCTGACAAGCATCTTCCTTGTGAACAAAGCTATGGAGTTCTTGCTTCTTCCAGTTACACCTCGCACTATAGCGTGTGCTGTCAGGTTTGCAGAATAATGCCAAAAAAAAGAAAGGGAATGCCCACCTTCCCTAAAAGAGTGGCTAGAGAAATTGTCAATTCTTGTCAACTTTGTACTTCCCGATAGTTTTAGAAATGATTTTTCACATTCATATTCTTCCTTTAACCATTACCAGATATGTAAGTTTTAATCATTTCTGAAGACTCTTAAGGGGCAAAGAGTCTTTTTAGCATACAGTAGAGAAGGATGAGGTGTCTTGTGTATGAAGTGTTCGTGCAGGAATAAATGATTTGCAGTTTCACTCTGCAGCATGAGGACAGCAAATGGTTTATTTCTGGATGTATCATCTCCAGGTATTGCAAATGAAATGGGTGGGATCACATTGATACCCATTTTGATGAATTTAGGTCAGCCATGTAAGACAGAGGCACAAGCTCCCTGCCACCCTCAGGGGAACCAAGCACATGAAGTGCATCCATCATCAGGAAACAAACCAAAGAGAACGGGATCCTTGGCACTGTTCTACAGAAAGGTAGGTGTCTTCATGAGGAATTCACATTTTGCTGCTGCTTGTGGCTGTGCTGAAATTTGCCTCCTTGTGCAGTTTTCATGACCTTTCAGTCTTCATGTGCTTTTCCTTTGGCGTGAGCAGTTCTTAGATACCTGGGAGAAGGGAAAAGATGTTGTCAAGTGTTACAGAGAATTCAGTTTTCCCCCTTCCCCTGCCCACGACATGTTCTGTGGTTTGGGTTCTTTTTTTTGTTGAATTAACAGCTTTTATAAGTAATTACCTAAGAAATACCAGTGGTTTTTACTTCTCTTGTTTGTTTTTACTGACTCTCACACTTTAAAGGGGTAGACTTATCAGAAATGAGATTATTCTCCTGCGTCTTGCTCATTCAAAACCACACTGTTTCAAATCCTGCATCTGGAGATTCTCATTTGCAGTTTTCTGAGGCCTCCCCAGTAGTGCTGATCCTGCTGGTATGTGGCCTCAGAAAGCAGTGGTGAATTGCACACTGTCCAGAAGTTTCTAGAAGGATTATGAAGGATTTAAGGGGCAAGGTAAGAACTGGGTGTGCTGGAGAGAAACTTGTTTCTAGTTTCTTTCATTTCCAGCATGGAGTGTGCGAGGGCCCTTTGGAGGAGGCAGAGGTAGCTGCCTAAATGCCTGAAAAGAATATGCACCTACATTAATCTCTCAAAAATATTAGAAAACCTATTTTTTGCTGTTATTTTCTTACTGGAGAATGTATTTTTAGAAGTTTTCCCCCTTTTAGGGTATCTGTGTTGTCACCCTAGAAAATTCTACATTGAACAGTCTTTAAGGCAAATTTTAATACAGAAACTGATTCCTGGAAACACTTGTAAGCCACATCCAGTGTCTGAACCATTGGTTCTTTAATGCTGATAGTGACAGTATCTCTCTGAGAATGGATTAAAAATGGATTAACTTTACTCTCAGCTGGGGAGTACTTCAGCTGTAGCCCGGTGTTTTACCAGCCATGTGGTAGGCAACATAATCCTCTCAGAAGGAGGACTAAAATCTTCACTTAAATTGGTCTTTAAATGTTGACTTCTTTACAGTGATCATCATATTCAAAATGATAGTTCTTCCCTACTTTCCTTTCTTGATCCTGTTCAGTACAGCAAGTGAAAAGGAAATGAACTCTTTCTGCTTTCTGACATAAAGAATGTGCCTAATTTCTGTCCATGAAGCAAGAACTTCTGAAGTACGTAGAAGAGGCTTATGTTGCACTTGACATTTATCTTGGGGTTTGAGACAGATCTTTGGTAATCAAAAGGGGAAGAAAAAATTCCATCATCTTGCTAATCTAAGATTATATTTAATTAAAGTGTGCCCCTTCTTTGTGCTTGTTCAGAGTGTTCCATTGCAGTGAGCGAGGTGTAGAAACTATAGTCAAAATGGTTTTAAGCAGGTTTCCTGTGAGCATTAGAGATCCAACCTCTGAACAGAGGTGACACCTTAGTCTTTGAAGACATTGTCTTGGGCAAGGGAGAGAAGTTTTCCAGAAATGACTATGCAAATATAGAACAGCTCTGCTTTGAGGACATCACTTTTGCAGGCGAGGTTAAGCTGTTTCGGCTTCACTTATTTCTGTGTGTCTTCCAGGTTTATCATCTGGCAAGTGTGCGCTTGCGTGACCTGTGCTTAAAACTGGATGTTTCCAATGACCTGCGCAGGAAGATATGGACGTGCTTTGAATTCACATTGGTCCACTGTGCTGATCTCATGAAGGACAGACATTTGGACCAGCTCCTCCTCTGTGCCTTTTACATCATGGCAAAGGTGACATGTCGTTCTAAGAAATTCGGGGTATTTTATGTCAATTGAAAATGTGAATTGTTTTCCCAGTTTAGATAGTTTTTTTCGTGTCACATTACTGGAGGGAAGAGAAAAATCCTTCCAAGAAGTGGATGAATCCCAGTGTATTTTTTTCCTTGTCTTGGATAAATCTTTAAAAGTTCCCATCAACCAGCCAGTTGGTTAAGAGAGGATTTTATTTTTCCTGAGCACTGGGCAACACAAGTGGTGTGTGGTCTCATTCCCCCCATATTTGTGTTTTCTGTCCTCTTTGTCACCTTCATGATCTATGTAGTCTGAACTGAAAACCCCATTACAGCTTATTACTTTATTTTGTTGTGTCACTAATATAAAGTCAGAAAATGAGTAATTCCTAAGCATCATAAGCAGCAAAAAGCTTTTGTAGCTAACAAGGAATACCTAAACAAGAAAAATAGTTGTTTTTTCATATTCTCACCCCCAGTACTAAGTTTTAAAATTATGTATTTAATCCTCAGGAAAACCTGTACAGAGGGAAGTGAATTGAGTAGACTGAACCAAACTTGCTGCTGCACTTGATGTTCAACAGACTCTTCTTTTCCAGGTAACCAAAGAGGAACGAACGTTTCAGGACATCATGAAAAGTTACAGAAATCAGCCCCAAGCAAACAGCCATGTAAGGAAATAGTATTGCCTTTCCTTTGTAGAAAGCTCAGATGTGGCTTTTCAGATGATGCTGCTAAGGGAAAAGTCAGTCCCCTTCAGTGTTATATCCATTGTCATTCAGATGGATTTCACCTGATTTTCTGGCTTCCTTGTTTTCCTTGACCTGAGTGTTTTTCCCTGATGTCCTGCAGGTTTATAGGAGTGTCTTGTTGAGAAATATTTCTGCTGATGGCCCGTTGGAGAAAAATACAAACCAAGATGTGGAGATGACAGAAGGTAGGTACAGCAAAGTCATCTGTGCTTCTTACAGTGCACTTGTGTGCTTTTAAAGAACCAAACTGTCAATAAGGAGAAGTGAAGCAAGTTTTACAGTTTTGAATGTATTAAAGAAAAGCAAATGTATTGTTTGAAGAGAAACCATCTTGTCAGTAGCTCTCCTGTGTGTTAGGTACATAAGATACACTTCCTACTTGGAAAATGAGCTCATTTTGTTTCCTTAAGTTTGGTTGAAATGTTTGGTTGAAATGTTTCCCTTGTGTCAGTGACACTGCAGTTGTTCTTGAATCTAACTGGGAATAGATGATCTTTGAGGTCTTTTCCAACCCAAACCATTCCCTGAGTCTTTCTGGACAGCAAGTGTTTAATGGAAATTAAGAGCAACTGGAATATTATGACAGGTTTTTTTTTCTTAACCTCATCTATCCTGAAGGCTTAAATAGGGAGAACTTGTTTCAGAAAATAGAAATGGTGACTCTCTCAGACCACCATTTTCTTATATTCAGGTTTCTTTTAAACAGGTGATAGTTTTTTTGCTCTCGGTTAGAGGAGAAAAGGGACAAGAACATTTGAGAAAAGCATGAAAATTGTGCCTTGCTTGTTTCTAGTGATGTGTCAGGAAACTGGAAAGTCACAAGCCCATGTGTGAGTCTGTGAGCAGAGCAGATCTGCAGCCAGGGCACATGCTGAAATGTAGAAGACTGTTCCATGCAGTGAATACCCACCTGTGGCTGGGATTCATCTGCTTGAACAAGTGTTAGAACCATTTTTTAAATGCCTTTTGAGGGTTTCACCATGGTCCAGGAAAGTGCTGAGCTCCTGTAGGTTCAGCAGCTCCACAGTTCTTGGATGTCATAGAGCATCTAAAGTGGCACTGGGCTCTGGTGCTTTGTCAGACAAAGGTACTTGGTTACAAAGTTCTTGAGTTGCTTTTTCTGCCAGACTTTCTCTTCAGTTAATGGATTTGTGTCTCCTTCATCTAGTATAAACTCCCACTCTTCTGACACCAGTTTACAGGAACATACTCTTGTGTTGTGACACAAGGCAGACACACTAAGGAGTTACACGTACGGGTATCAGCTGAAGCTTTTGATGTCTGTTTCATAATGCACTGGTTGCAAGAGGCTTTATTCTGTGTTGCCCTTTTTTTTGCTTGGCAGTAAAGAGTACAGAGGACTGAAGACAGAAGGTTGTATTCTGACTTAGTTAGGGGAGAGGGAACATTAACGTGAATACACTTGCTGTGTGGCTGCAGCTTTTCCCACCAAACAGCTATTTCGTAACACATCTGAACTAATGATGCTGTGGCTTCCTTGCAGCTGACCCAAGTTGAGCATGAAGCTGTTCTTTGCCAACTGATCACAAAAAGCTTTCACAGAAGCTAAAAGCTGGGAGTCACCAGACTGCTTAGAAGTCAGTTTTGAGAGCAACAAATGGCTTTGTACCACTCCCCAGAATAAAAGTGGGAAAAAGGGCCCATTGTGCTACCATTTTTGGTACAGCTCCAAATGTTCATAACCACATGCAGCACACCCTGCCTCCTGCCTGAAGCACACCTCTAATTCACCACATTAACTAGTGAATTTATGGATGAGTTCTTGTCAGTTGGATAATGTAAATTTGAATGTGAAGCACCCAGTTTGCTGATGCCGTATCTGAAATCTGAAGCACTCTCTTATTGTCAGACTTGTCTGTGAAAACTGGCAGTTCCTTGGGACGATCTGCAGAAGAGAGCTCCAGTGAGTCGGGAACAGAGGAGAGAGGAGATCTCATTAAGTTTTACAATGCAGTCTATGTAGAAAGAGTGAAATCATTTGCCCTGAAGTACGATATCACAAACCAGGACCATGTAGTAAGTAAAGCATTTTGGAATTTTGCTCTGTCAAATGATAAGACACAATAATTCCTGACAGCTAAACATGTCAGTCTTTTTTCTCTGTTATTCACATGGTGTGGTTATGAAACTGTGGTATGAGGAGCTGCCTAAGCAGCATTTCAAGAGGACAAATGCAGATGCAGCATTGTTTACAACCTGCTGTCAGCTTCTTTATATTGATGCAATACCCATTTGCTCAAGTGCCTGTGTTGCATTTCTGTTAATCCATCTGGAAACCAAATTTGCTCTGTTGTTTGGTGGATACTTGATCTGTTCTTTCAGTGTTACAGGCTAAAATCTTCTAAAGAAGACCTGAAATTTCATTAATCTTTCCTTCTGTGAAATTACTGCTCTTTAATATCTTCAGATTCAGCTCTTATCCAGATTTGTCCTCTCTTGCAGATGGAAGCGCCTCCTTTGTCTCCATTCCCCAGCATCAGGCAGCAGACAGTGTCTCCTCGCCGCATCTCTCAGCAGCATGCAGTTTATGTTTCACCCCACAAGAACGGCGCCTGCTTGACACCTCGATCTGCACTCCTTTATAAATTTAGTGGGAGCCCTTCCAAGGTAGAGAGCAAAAAGGTTGAAAAGAGTCAATCTGAGGGAGGGTTAATTAATCTCCTAGTTAGGATATGTTCTAACACAGTGATTTTTATTTAATGAGGCTCTCAGTTTGCAGTGAAAGGTAGAATTCTTCCGGTAGGATCCATCACTCAGTCAGCAAAGAGGTTCAGAGCTCTTTGTTCTCAGATAACTGAAAAGCAGAATAAGTTTGAAATGGAGTTGTAGTAACTCATGTTTTTTTTTTTAATCCTGATTGCAGAGTTTGAAGGACATCAACAATATGATAAAACAAGGTGAACACAGGAGTAAGAAGCGAGCAATAACGATTGACAGTGACACTGAATCTCCTACGAAGCGACTCTGCCAGGAGAACGATGATGTTCTACTCAAACGTCTCCAAGATGTTGTCAGTGAAAGAGCAAATCACTAAACCTGGTTTTCTGCAGGATCTAAAAGCTATGGAGTCAGATACAGCTGTCATGCTATTTACTTCTTGCTTTTGTATACAGACAACTGCCAAGTTTCTTTAACTTTGCACTTGTACCGGACTTCCACAGGATGCAAAAAGCAAGGGTTAAGTAGTGAATGCCAGAGAATGGCAGATGATGGTGATCTTCATCCCAAAGGGCAGCTGTGCTCCAGGTTATTCTGACCTGTTTTAGCAGAAGAGTGAGGTGTAGAAAGCCATACTGGGATGTTCTCAAGCCTAGTTGTGGAGTTTTGTGAGTTCTGAGTGTAACTCAGCTTCTAGGAATACCATTTTGATTTAGTTTTTTTTTTAAGTAAGAATGATGAGGAAGCGAGTGTTAAGTTTCCTCAAGCTTTTGGTATTTGAGGAAGAAACTTTGAAAGTGCCTTATTTTTAAATAATGTAGAATTTTATGCATTATTCTACTCTGGAGTAACTGGAGTGGAGAAAAATTCGTCACTTAGCCTCAGGAAGAGCTGAGCAGTTTTGAACTGATGCATGATTTGTGCTGTGCTCTATCTCCTGCCACGACTTCAGCAGAAGTGTATGTTGTGACATGGATGGGACAGCTTCTGCAGTAACAAAGGCAGGAATTAGTACAAGTAGCAGTGACTTAGATTGGACACTGCCATCTGGTAAACCACCGTGATATGGTTCAGTTAGTCTGAATTGCCTTTCTCTGGAGCCAGGGAAGGCTGCCATGGAGCTGCTCTTTTCCTGTTGGAAGCCTAGGAGCAGCCTTGCCGTAGAAGCTGTTCGTGTGTATTGCAGCTTCCTGTGAACCTGTCCAAATGCACAAATTCATCTAACAAGTTGTCTCTTCATTTTACTTTTTCCTGAAGATTGTAGCCTCTTGTGTAGTATCTACACTGAATGTAAGCCCATAAGATAAGGCAGGTTTGTATATACTTGGGGGTGGGGGTTTTATAGCTATTGAAGGCTTTGATTCATTGGAAATGCCAGCATCTAATTCTTACAACTAAGTTTTTTTTATGCTGAGGAATTTGGTAGGGTTTGTTTAACCAAAATGGAGAAAAGGCAAGGTTTATCCATTACTGCGCATCAGTACCTTGATCTTATTTCATAATTGCATTTAAGATTAGAGCCATGGAGAGAGTTCTCCGCGCTGTATTTTTCAGTTTGTGTATATTGAACATCAACTGTTCAATATTTTCTGTGAAGAAAAAATGAACGATTACATAGGACTTGTTTAAAGAGCTCTGTTCACTTCACTGCTTGGTTGGTTTAGTATGTGCTGCATGGTCTGCTGGACCACAGCTCCAGGGAAGGATGCTGCCATGATTTCAAGCAGATTCAGCTACTGAATCTGGCCAGCAACGATGGAGGAAAAATGTACTTAAAGGTGTACGTGTGCAGGGATCCTACTCAGCAGTGAGCAGGAAGCTCACAAACTCTGTAACTTGTTCTTGAATTATTAACTACTTAATCTTTCTTTAAACTATCAGAAAAGGTGCTTATTTCTAATAGGTTTGACTGCAGAGAGCTGCAGTACGAGGAGATGGCCACTCAGTGGACAAGGTTTCATGTAGATTGGTCTGTTCAGTTCCTTTTACTCAATTTTTAGTATTTGTCTTCAGATCTTGAGATAAAAAGTACAAAAGACACAACCTTTCTGTCTTGATCTGCTCCTCAGTGCTGTTCAGTGGATACAGCTAGGTCCCTAAACTCCTCCTCTGTGGTGGGGGAGGTGAGGAATTGATTCAGCTTTGGGCAGTGAAGTGTTTCTATGTTAGAGAGAGGAATGTGCTACAACTGGATGCAGTCCAGATTTTCTTTCCACCTTTTTAGGTGTTAGAAAACCTCTTTTTGGACCTGTTGGACAGCTCAACCAATAGCTTAGGCAGAAATCTTGTAACGGTTTCAAAGTGCCTTCACATCTAAATACGTATTTTATAATAAACAATTAAAAAGCATTTTAACCTGTGTTGCTGTATTTGCTGTGGTCTTTCTGTGGTGATCGTTAAACAGTGCCTTCTGCCTTCATTGTCTGTAATGTCAAAGACCTCAGGGGTTTTTTTTCTTCCTCAAATTTCTTTGGGATTTCTTTTATTCAGTTTAAATTAGTGTTTCACATGATATTTCTAAAGCTTCCTCCTGAGGTTTCTGTACTGTGTGCGCTTCAGTCAGATGTGGGTTTGGGGAGGAGAAGATAATACCTTACCTGAAATAACCAAAAAGCACTGAAAAGAAGATCCTGCAGTGATAGGTAGTGTGCCCACCACAGGAGCTGTGCCCCTAGCACGGGCGAGCATCACACTTGTGAGCTCTTGTATGTTGTGTAGGTGAGGCTCTCAGTGCTATGGTTTAGTGGTGGTCTTGGCAGTCCTGGGGTAATGGTTAGACTTGATCTTAAAGGTCTTTTCTAATTTAGTTGGTTCTATGGTTCCTGGTTCCTGACCCTCAGCACTGCACTGCCCTGGCTGCCTTTTTCCTGGGTGTGCCAACGGTGTTTGAAACCGGGTTCGGACAGATTCAGAGTTGTTCCACCTGGTTTCGTGCTGTTTGTCACTACAGAGAGGCATGAAGCTGCCAGGGAGGCAAAGCTGCTTACATCTCGGTTTTTAAAAGACTTCAACTGTAGTTACCAGCCTAAAGGAGGATGTTGAGGGGCAGAGCTGTGAAAACGTGGCTGACTCTTCTCTTTGTAAACTTCCTCTTGCAGGCAAGAGTGGCACTGAGGGGAAAATGTCATGGGCAGCAGCAGGAAGTGAGAAATGAGGCTACTGTTTGCCAGACTTGCATACTGCAGCCTTTTCCCCAACTGAGAATATCACCTCATTAACCCTGCTGGAAGTGGATTCAGAGCTTCCACATCTGCTACAGGTCAGTTTTGAGTCAGTTCAAAGGTTGACACCACTAGGGAGAATACCCTCTATACATATATAATAGGCATAAACTTACTAGCACTTCACATGTAAGCAATATGTTAATGTTAGGTTGCCACATCCCAAGCGCTGCACTAAGATGTGGCTTCCAAGAAAATTTGTGGTTAGAGTGCATATAAGCAGTGTGAGGAATCGAAACTGATTTTCTATTTAGTTTCCTGTTAGGAAATACTCTTCTATCTTGTGACTCATGGAGGGTGTGTTCTTGTTTATTTGGGTTTCTCTGTTACTTGATGCCTGAGGAGCTGAAACTGGGGACACAAAAGGAGGTGCTGTGAAGGAGCTGCAAGGGTGTAAGAAGGGCTGGGATCTCAGATGAAGGAAGCTAACATGCCTAAATCTGCCTCAAGTCTAAAGAATCTGAGTTTACTGTAACCTCTATAGTTTACAAGAAGCATGTAACTCATCACCCAAGTAGCAGTTCTTGACAAACAGGTGTCAGATGAACAGGGTGCCAAACTCATAAAACTTTTCATCTTCCTCAAGTGACCAGAAGCCTATTAGATGGCACGTGAGTGAGGCATATTACTCCTGTGGTTCTCAACCTGCTCCTGGCCAGGGCTCATGGCTGTCCAGGTCCATCTGGGCTAGAAAGCTGGGCAGAGCTGATGGGTACCAGGCTCACGTAGTGCCTCATCTTGAAGGTCAATACACCTGAGTAACGGAGATCCTTTGGTTTCAGGGAGCCCAATTGACCCTGCATGTGCACTCCTCTCCCAGATGGGGAGCTGCTTCTCAGCTGAGGCACACTGAACTTAAGCTGTGGTATCTGTACTGCAGGCATCCCCTCTGCTTTCTCTTACATGTTATCCATCACAGTGCCCAGTAACAGAAAAAAAGCTTTGCAAGAGTTAAGTTGCAGAAATTTCAGCTAGTTAATGTCTAGATATGGGGTCAAGCAGTGAGGTTGTGGAAGGAACTGGTGCCAAGTCGCAGATGGCTTTGCTGTAAGCTCTTCAGTTTCTTGGCAGTGCTGCTTCAGAGAGTCCAGCATCACCAGGAACGTGCTACCAGAAACCTGTAAAGTGAAAAAACCAAAATGAGACCCTAAACAGAATAATCCCTCTCCATCCTGGCTTTCACCATTCCCTTGCATTTTTTCTGCCATCGCAGGGGATCCTGTTGGATCCATTTTGGGTTTCTGTGCTGAGCTGCATGCCCGGAGCTAAACCAGGTTTCCCTGCTTGCTCAGCAGTGAGGAGAACTGAAAGGGCCTTCAGCAACCTTCACTGCACAGAAACAAGCATGAAGCTAAACAAATACTTTTTCCTCCTTTTCTTTTCCACGTGCTTTGCTTGGTTGCCAAGATTTGTGCAGAACAACGCCCAGCTTAGTGTAGTATTTTCTTTTTCTTCCTACTAGTGAGGGTGAAATGGGGTAATCCTCCACTCTTGCTACACCGTGTGTGCATGTGGTGTTGCAGTATCAGCAGGTTTTGCACTGATCAGTGAAGGATGTCCTGCTGGTTTGGGGTATTCCTTCCCTGCCGTTATAAGGCTATGAATGCAATGAGATTCCTCTTGATGATTTTATTTTTACGAACACTCCAGATGCATTTGGCCTGTGGATAGATACGTGTCTAACTCCTTGCTTTCCCCTAAAACCTCTTTAGGTACCTTTAGGTAGGTGATGTGAGTATTGAGCTACATAGGGCAGGTTTTGACACTGGTAGAAGTACAGAATGGGCAGGTGATGAATTATTCCTTAGAAGGACATGCACCAGTGCCATTTGGGTCAGTTTTGTGGGAGAGGGGAAATGGAGAAGGTAGAAGGCGATTTTAAATGCTTGTGTTCCTTAAGGGATTTGGCCTGTTCTTGTTTTACAGTTCCCTTCCCAGAAAAGGAGCATTTCCTTTCATGGGTGGAACCAGCTCTCAGCCAGTTTCATTTCAGATGGTAAGGGCTGACAAAAATCTCAGACAAACCCAGAGGGGATGTGGAGACTGAGCCAAATGAAAACCGGCAGCAGCCCTGAAGTGCACTTGCCTAACAAGAGCTGGGAAGTGAGGAAGCTGAATATGTGCTTAGAGAAGCAAATGACAGTAGCATGGCAGTAGAATGTGAGCTTTGTTCCACACCAAAACCTCGTGGAAAGCCTAAAGAAAGGGTGTTTTGCTAAGGCAAGGATTTCTTTCCCCAGACCACGCCCCCCCCCAACATGTCTCAACTGTGGTGGGGAAGTTGTGATGAGAACACAGCAATTCCAGACATGTGGGTTGACCTTGGCTGGCTGTGAGGTGCCCACCCAGCTGTTCTCTCACTCCCCCTCCTCAGCAGGACAGGGGGACACAATACAATGAAAAAGTTCATGGGTTGGGATAAGGACAGGGAGATTATTCCCCACTTACCAGCACAGACCCAAGACTGGAATTGGGGAAGATTATTTTATTGCCAATTAAAAATAGAGTAGGATAATAACACCTTCCTCCCATCTCCTCTTCTTCCTAAGCTCAGCTTCACACTTGACTTTTCTATCTCTCTGCAGTGGCACACGGGGATGGCTGTTGGGTTCAGTTTGTGATGCTTCATCTCTGGTGGTCATTGCTGTACGAGTCTGGCAGCTGGGTGCATGTATTTTCATTGCCTGTCATCTTGAGAAGGTTGGCTTTGGGTATCTTCAGCAGCACTGTTTGAGGGCAATACCGCTGTGGCATCCCATCTTTTGGGAGCGCCGTCGTGGAGGCTGAGCTAGGATGGTGACCGGGCCTCGCTGGTGCTGGCTTCCAGGTGTTCACATCTGGACCCCTCACGGCGACCTGCCGTCGTGGGGAGCACTGCTTACCTCGCTGCAGCAGCTCTGCCCGTTCCGCAGCTCCACGGGCATCCCCTGCGGCTGGCTGCACAAAGCCTCCTCTTGCCCAGGCTGCGGGCGCGGTGGGCTCTGCAGGAACGGGTGGCTGTGAGCTCAGTCAGCGCTGAAAACCGGCGTGTGCCGCAGGGCCCCGGGGCGGGGCCGGGCCGGGCACAGCGCGGAGGCAGCCGCCGGCGTTGCCGCTGCCTCGGGCCGTGTCTGTGCCCCGCTCCCCGGTACGGCGGCAGGTGCGGGTCCGGTGGGGGGGGGGGGGGGGAACGGGACGGGGACCCCGCATCGCCCGACCCGTCCCGGTACGGCGGTTCCCGCCTTTGGGGGGGGTGGGTGTGCAGCGCTGGCCGTGACGTCACCGCGGCGCCGCTCTGCGCGTGCGCGGCCGTGAGCGGGGATGGGGAGCCCGGCGGGGGGCGGCTGGGGCGCGGCTGCCGCCAAGCGCGCGCGGCGGGGGGGGGAGTGGCGCGGCCCTGAGGCGGAGGGTGACGGGAGCGAGCCGCGGCGCTGGGACACGGAGCGGCTGTGCCGGCACCTGGCGCGGTGCGGGTTGGGCGAGCCCGGCCTCCTCCGCCGCTTCCGAGGTTAACGGCGGGACACGGGGCCTGGCGCCGGGGGAGCAGCTCGGGCCGCCCCTCCCCTCCCCGCCCCGCCGCTGACGCTGTGTTCACTCCCCGCAGAGCACGGAGTCACCGCGAGCATGCTGCTGGACCTGCCCGCCGGCGCCTTCGAGGCCACGCGTGTCTGGTGAGAGCCGCGCCCGGGAGGCCTCGGGCTGAAGGGAGGGAGGGAAGGGGGAGGAGGGACTGAGGCCCTTTGGAGCTCCCGGTGCTGCCCGGCCTCTGGGCCCGCCGCGCTCCGGAGCAGCCGCTCCGCTGACACCGTGCAGCGCGTTCGCGAGGGGCTGTGCGGCGGTGAGGCCCTGCAGGGGGGTCCTCGCCTCCCCGGGTCCTGACCCGCTTCCGAGCCGGCTGCCCAAGAGCTGGGCCGTGAGCGGGTGTTTATGGTGGAGCGAGCCCGGTGCGGATGATTGAGGGTCCTCAGCCCCGGTTTGCCGCTTCCCCTGCAGACCCCAGCGCAGCCAGTGCCATACAGAGTGTGGAAGCTTGTGCCCAGTAACTAAAAACATCATCTAAAAAGCTTTAACGAAACTGCCACCAACGCAGTGACCTTTCAAGTGGTCATAGGACCATTATAAACCCCAGGGGGTTGATGAGAACTGTCTTCTTGGCTCAAGTTAATGCTGCTCCATTCTAGTACCGACAGCAGTAACGGTTTTTAAGGAGCAGGGCTGCTCCGTACAGGCTGAGGTTCACCACCTCCCTGAGATAAGTCCTGAGCTTTGGGATCTTAATCTTGCAGCAGCTGCTGGGACTTTGCTCTTTGTTGTGCCTGCTGCAATAGGGTGGACTGTCACAGAAGAGATTTGGATGTGTGCCCTGACAGGATGCGGGTCCGTGGTGGAGTTCAGTGGCCATGGCACTTGGCAAAGCCTTACAGCAGGCACCTGCCAAGAGCAGAGGAGAACTGAATGCTGCTGGCCTAAAGCACCTGCCAGGGTCCCTCTCAGGAGTGATGGAGATGGTTGGTCCCAAAAACCTTGTAACTTTTCTGGGGGTTGTCCTGGGTTCAGCTGCAACAGTTATCTTTTCTTCCTAATAGCTGGCAGTGCTGTGTTTTGGATTTAGTGTGAAAATGATGCTAATAACACATCAGTGTTTTGGTTGTTGCTCAGTAGCACTTACCCTGATCAAGGACTTTTCAGTCTCATGCTATGCCAGTGAGGAGGGGCACAAGAAGCCTGGAGGAAGCCGAGATGGGATAGCTGACCCAGACTAGCCAAAGGGTATTCCATACCAGAGCATGTCACCCCCAGTATGGAAACTGGGGGATGTTACCCAGAAGTGGCTGATCACTGCTTGGGTTGGGCTGGGTATCAGTCAGCAGATGGTGAGCAATTGTACTGTGCATCATTTAGGTTTATTGCTTTTTATCTTTCCCCTTTTAATTTTCTGTTCTCTCTCCTTGTTACTTCCCTTATTGTTACTATTATTAGTAGTAGTGTGTACAGTACTTCAGTTATTGGGCTGTGCTTATCTCAGCCAGTGGAGTTAACATTCTTTCGATTCTCCTCCCCATCCTTCCCGGGGGGGGGGGGGGGGTGTGTGTCTTTCAATGCCTTGCTGTTTGTCTGGGCATCATGTGCCCATTTGAAGGCTCAGACACACTCGCTGATGTAGGCAGGCAGGATGGGGCAGTATGTGATATAGGCCATGGAAGTGAATAGCTGAGAAGAGCACTTGGTTGATGTGAAGGGTAGGTGGTGCTGGGGGCATACTTGTGGGTTTCCTTTTCTAAGGTGTTTCCTTTGGTGAGGTCTGACATCTTGTTTCTGTTATGCTGAAAATGCTGTGAGTTGGATAAGAAATTGCTGGAGCCTTCTGCTTTTTTAAGTCATCTCAACTCTGCACTTAGGAATGAGCCCTTCGCATGTGTTTTCCCACCATACGCTGTGTCCTCCAGTAACTTTCATCATTTCTCTGTGACAGGCTGGTAATGAATGCTGATATTTGGCTCCCTGACATTCCTGAACTTGCAGTGGGGAAACCTCAGAATGGCAGGGGCCTGGAGGCAGTGCTGTGGGTTTCCCACCCATTCTCATGTTCCTGGAAGCAGATGTTTTGTGTGAAGCGCAGCATGCTGCGCGCTAAATATGACTGATGAGTAGGGCTGTCTTACTGATCTCTGGAACAGTTAAGTTCCTAACGGGTGCAGAAAAGGGATTTTCCTGCCATTGTCTTCTGTGGCGTGAGGGAGGGTGTGGGCAAAGCAGAGAGGGCTGGATGGGGAAGTATTGGTCCTCACCCTTGTCCTCACCCTTTGAAAGACAGCCAGCAGTATTGCTTCTTTGGTTGTTACAGCAATGCTGCATGCAGAGACCTGGAAACCACGGTGCTGACACATGATTTGTATGTAATGTCCTGATTGAAGCAGTCTTGCCACGTGTAGCAGTAAAAAAATCCCCTGCTGTTGCTTTCTGTCTGGAGGACAGAGAACTCTTGGTGTTCAGGTGATTCCTGTCACACCACGACTGGACTGACAACATTCTTTGTCATCCAGAGCTGCCACAGGGTTAGTGTTCCTGGAGACAGGGCAGGATGATAAGACATATAAGTCACTGACGTGGTGTGTCAGGCAGGGACTTCCCTGTCTGGACCTATTTATTCCCTTTACTGCTCTGACCCATGCACAGCATCGACCTGTCCCAGGTGTGACGCCAGCAGATGTGTTGTACCCTGCCGAGAGCTGCACTAGCACCGCTTCATTCAGCCCTGCTGGAGGTGAGTTTCTGGAGCAAAGCAGCACATCACATTGTTTAGTGTGAGGTGTCCCTGCCCATGGCAGGGGGGTTGGAACTGGATGGTTTTAAGGTCCTTTCCAACCCCAACTGTTCTGTGATTCTATGATCAGGCTGTGCTCTTTGTGGGCAGTGTTTGCACAGGTAGTTGCAGGGTAAACTACTGTCAGTAGTACATAACTGTCCTTTCTCTGCTGTTCTGCTTGCAGTCATTGGTAATTTCTCATGCTTGTAGGCACCCACATGCGTTCCTCTTATGTACCTGCCTATTTTCCAGTTAATGTTCTCCTCTCTCCTGAAATTTTGTGGGATGTGAAAGTATAATCAAGTGCTTTAAGCCAGCAAGCTGTGCTCTGTAGTCAGCAGCTCTGTCCCTCATTTAATGCTAGGTGAGCTTTGCACCATCTTACCTGCTCAAAAATGTACACCTTGTGTACTGTGTGTGACCAGGAGTATATTGGGGCAGTTGTTCCCTGAGGTCTGTTGTGTGACTATATGATGGTGCTGCTGTACCTCCTGCAGCATTACAGCTTGTTCAAAAGCACGTGTGTTGATGTTTAATCTCCTGTCCTGGTTTTGGCTGGGGTAGAGTTAATTTCTTCCTAGTAGCTGGTGCAGTGCTGTGTTTTGGATTTAGTGTGACAATGATGTTGATAACAATGTTTTAATTGCTGTTTAGTAGCACTTACCCAATTAGGGACTTCTCAGTGTCTTATGCTTTGCCAGTGAGGAAGGGCACAAGAAACCGGGAGTGAGCAGAGACAGGACAGACATCTGACCCAAACTACCCAAAGGGATATTATGTTCCACAGAACATCATGGTCAGTATAGAAGCTGTGGGGAGTTGGCTGAAGGGGTCTGATCACTGCTCAGGGATGATCTGGGCATCCATCAGTGGGTGGTGAGCAAATGTTTGGAGCATCACTTAAAGTTTTTTGGGTTTTATTTCTCTCTCTTTGGTTGTATCCAGTGAGGACCTCTGGTGCAGAAAATGGACTCAGTCAGAGATCAATGTGATCAGGCAAAAGCCATTTATTACAAAGCATCTATCCTTTTTATACTGTTGTCTGCGTCTGCTTACAATAGCTTGCTGTATTATAATCGGATACATATACAATAACTTGCTGTATTAAGTTTGGATACATATTCAGTAGCTTGCTGTATTAAGATTGGATACGTACTCTTTTAGCACACAGCAACTAGTAACAATTAATCAAATATGCGCATGGGAACCTAGCCTTTAAAACTTGCTAACAGTTCACTGGTTTGTATCTTAGCACATTCCAGTTTCTTCTTATCTTGCTTGCACTGTTACTTTTGCTTCCTTACCCATGTGCTTCTTTATCCTCGGTTCATGTCAAGCTCCACATAGGCACTTGGTGACTTGGGAAAGTGGCCATTCTTTGCTAAAACCCATCCACAGACCTCAGTTGTAATTAATGTAGGGGTCATCTCTGCACATCAAGTTTGGGTGTTAATTTTTCAAGTCTGCTGGAGCAAAGGTGCTCTGGTCCAGGTGTGGTTCTGCATGTTAACTACGTGTTTCGAGAGAGAACTCCTCCACAGAAGATGAATGTGGATGGCTGGAAGCAGATTGCTTCTGACTTTGTTGTCCCTGAACTGTTTTTGAGGGTTGCGATGAAGGTGCTTGGTTACCAGCCTAAGGACTGGTCCTGCCCGAGATAGCCATACGTGTGGTCAGGAAGGCTGCTCTCTTCGTGAAGTTGAGTGTTCTTGGTCCCATTTTCAGCATGGACCTCAAAGAGCAGCTGTGATTGCTTTTCCTGGGAGTGTAAGCATAGGTGTGTACAAACTCCTGGTTTGCTGGCCACAGAAGGGTTCCTTGGCTTTTCCAAGGTTCAAATGCTGAAGTTCATCTCCTTAGGAGAGCAAGAAGAGTGGGCAGATGCAGGTTGCTTTCCTTTTGTGCCCTCAGCTACTTCCTACTGCTCTGTGAATAGTGGGCTCTGTCAGGAATGTATCTGGGGGTTTGTGACTGCTCCTGCAGACTGAGCTGCTCAGGATGTGAAGTAGCACATTGGTCTGAGCATCACCACTGGTGCTTTTCATCGTCAGCGTGAGTGGCAGCAGCTGAAGGCTCGACAGAGTCTGTGAGCAGAGAGGCTGCAGCCCAAGAGCACCTTGCTGGGGGAGGGATGCTGAGCAGTTAAGACAAGAAGCGCTCAGCAGCAGCTCAGACACCACATGTGTTCAGTAGTTGATGGGTTGTGAATTTTTAGATGATTCAGGTGAAAACGTGGTACTGCATTGAGCAGTATGTGTTGACCTTTATCGTATTGCTTCTGTTAAAGTTTAAATTGAAAAGCTGGTGTAAAACTGGTTTCAAGATGGTTAACTGCTGAGGAGTGTAAAAGGTACAAATCATACTTCCTTGCGATAAGGTGTTTGCTGTCAAATTGAGTTGAAAACACTTTGCTTGGTTTCAAGGACATGCTTGCAATGGGTGCAATAGGGTGTGTGTTGTGTCTCCCTCCAGACTTGTCCTGCCTGTGCTCTTAGACTGCCATGGCTACAAGAGAGTACCTGTGCTGGACATTTATGTGTGTGTTGTGAAGGGGACCCTTAATAATTTACTAACAATGGTAGCAAGGTATCTTTATGAAATTTTTAACACAGAGTTGACAAACTGAAAGAAATTTTTATGAGAATCGTTTACTGGGACTTTGACGTTTTAGTTTAAGGATTTTTTCCAAGCTGTCAGTTATTCAGGCACTGCACGTTGTCGTTCCCATGAAGTTAAAGGATTTATCCCCAGATGTGACTTTTCCTTAAAGTAATTGATGTAAAAGATGTGTACTTCCTGGTGGTTCTATTTCTTGATTCTGTGTAAGTGGGAGAAGCTCCTACACTGCTTTACAGACAATTTCTGTAGCTCTTTGTTCTCTTCCCTCTATACTTGACTTTGGAAGGATAAGTATGTTCAATGTTTTCCTGAAAAAGCTGCAGAAATACCTATTTCCCTAAACGAGGCAAGGAATATCAGAGTCAAGGTGAACTTGCACAAGTAATTCCATATGTACTGCAAATTGTAAGGGGAAATGCATTGGAAACTTTGCTCTCAAGGTCCTTTTTTTTCCTTTCTAGCCTTCCAGCTGAGAGACTGAAAGTTTTGGCCTGCCTGGACAAACTGCAACAGCAACACATGGATACGATGAAGGTAGCCCAAGTGCCTTGTCACATTGTGTTGGGGGACACTTCAGGGCTTCACAGCATTATCCCCATGCCTGTTTCTCTGCCTCTCTCCTTTTGGCTTGGTTTTGGCTGGAGCTGTGGTTGTGCCTTTCCCTTGGTAGTGAGCAGCCTTACAGAAACCACATTAACCAGAAGTACTGTTAAAATCATCAGCAAAGAGCTTTATGTGGGCACCTGGTGGTTGTGAGAGACAGAGTGAGCAGATGAGCTGTTTGAAGTGTGTAGAGGAGCTCCCCTTTCACATTTCTTTGTGTAGAGCCTCTCCTTGTGTTTTTCTGTTAGCTTATCCCCAGGCTTGGGTTAACAGACTCCTGGCTTCCAGCAGTCTCTCACAGTGGTGTATGTTGGTTTAACTCGGGCCAGGGCTGCATGTGTTCTTTGGTAGTCTCTATCTGCTAGAGCCTTGTCTGCTCAGTGACCAAGAGCAGAGAGAGCACAGGAACACCTGATTGTGTGATGAACTGGTTTTATCTGCTGTTTTGAGGCAAGGTGTGTGTTTATCTTCTTTGGTGAGTCGCTGTAGTTATTCAGATGTCTCTTAAAACCCGTGCTTAGGGGTGAGCAGGGAGTATGCCTTTTGTATTGCAGTTGTCTTGGGGTTTGCATTTTGGTTTATGGCAAAAAAAAAGTAAGAATCATAATTTCCCCACTGCAAAATTTCACTTGATTTTAAAGAGCCCAGTGTCAAACCAGACACTGCTAACTGGCTGTCACAGCCTTGTATTTACTTTATCTTTACTGATCGTCGTTCTTTCAAGTGTTAAGTCTTTAGTAGAGAAAACAAAACAAGGAGCCTGACCATTGTAGTTATCTTTTACCTTGGTGCCTATTTCTTTTCAAAGTCAAATGTTAAATGTTAATTACACTTTTGTTTGGCTTTTGTAGGTTTTTAACGATCCAATTCATGGGCACATTGAAATACATCCCCTTCTTGTCCGCATCATCGACACGCCGCAGTTTCAGCGCCTCAGATACATTAAGCAGCTTGGTGGCACTTACTTTGTTTTTCCAGGAGCCTCTCACAACCGCTTTGAACACTCTATAGGGTAAGGTGGTGATGTCTTGCATTTGCATTCCTCTGAGGAGTCTGTTAACCTGGTTCCATTGTGGATTGCCAGCCAAGGGGGGATGCTGTCTTTGAGCACTGGTGAATACTGCTGTGGTGGCAGTTATGGTCTCACTAATGTTTCTGGATGTGCTGTGCGATTATGGGCTGTTCTTTTGAACTTTTTTTACCACAGACAGACAAAGAAACCCACAAGATGGATCAGTGTTAGGTTTCCTTTCCCACCACTTCTTGTAAGAATAATGTTAGCTGTGAGTGGTTTATGTTCTCCTTGGTCAGAACTTGAGTTTTAAAGCACAGACCTGGGAAGGTACCAGAGCTATTATAAATGACTTGCCAGACAGTTGTATTCCCCTTATGTTGTTCAGCACAGCTAAACTCCATTTGATCAGCAGTGTTTGCCTTTGCAGTTGTGTGTGCTTTGTGCAATTGATGGCAGGTTGTCAGGCTGTTAGCTGTAAGGTAAACAGAAGCAGATGATGGACCCAAGGATTCCCAGATTGCTCTAGGTCATTTGCACTCCGCAGAGAAGCTGATTAATGACAAATCTAAACTTGTTTTAAAGGTGTAACCCCAAGGTGCAATAAAATTGAACTAGTCAGTGTTTGTTTTTTCAAGAGGTCTGGCCAGCCTAAATTTGCTTCTATTAGTGCTGAGATATTGTGGAGTAAGTGTGGAGTATACTCCTGCTCCATGACACTGAAAAAGATGCAAATGTCTGGTGCAAGAGGGCTGGATCAGTGAGGCTGGAAGTGATTGTATCTGGTAAACCTGAAAAGACAAAAATGTGAGGGATAGAAACAAAGATTTCACAAGAAAAATCTGCAAACTCCAGTGGTATCAACATTTCCTTTTAAACTGTTCAATTCATGGAATTAAACTTGGACAGTTCTCAAGCTCTGTGTGCCTATTGGTCTAGTGAAAAACCACCAAACACTAAAAGGAGGTCTAATCAATATTACTGCCCTGTCACATGAAACCTCGCCTTGCTTTAAGGTGTTCTGCAAGATTGGGGCAGGTGGAAAAGGAAGCTGGGTAGAGCTTGTGAACAGGTTATAGGAGTTCCTATCATGAGAACAGTGTGTCCTATTCTGTGGAATTAAGTGCCAGATACAAAATGAGTGGCAGGAAGGGAAAGAGTTGTCATAAGCTACCGTTAAAATAGCAATTTGAAAGAAGAGCAAAATGCTTTGGTGACTGTTGTGAACCTTTGCAGTTGCCCTGACTAGAAGTCGAGGGATGATGTGTAAAATGTAGTGCTTCAGGATGTGTGCTGTTGATAATGCTTACACACTGTTGTTGCCATGTTTAGGGCATGGTGTCTCATGCTTTCTTGCTTTCAAATGTATTACTGATGACTAACATTCTACTACAGGAAATACTTTGTGACTTTCTTGCAGGTTAGAGTTTTTGTTGTATGCTACCTGTTAGACAAGAGCTGTGACTTAAAGGACTTAATTTTTCTTCTTCTGCAACAGGGTGGGCTATTTAGCAGGATGTCTGGTTCGTGCACTGAAGGAGAGACAACCAGAACTGGATATAACTCAGCGAGACATCCTCTGTGTGGAAATTGCTGGGCTTTGTCATGATTTGGGTGAGTTACGTTTGAGATGGATTGTTGCTCTTTGAAAGCTAACCTGGATCAAAAGCTGTCTTTGAGATCAGACTGAGACAGCTCTTTTGGGCTGCTCAGTGCGTGACCCTATTGCAGGAGAGGATTTATCTGTTCCTGGAACATCTCCTATGGAGACAGGCTGAGAGAGCTGGGGTTGATCAGTGTGGAGAAGGCTCTGTGGAGACCTTAGAGCAGCTTCCAGTGCCTAAAGGGGGCAGACAAGAAAGCTGGAGAGGGGCTTTGTACAAGGGCCTGTAGTGCTAGCATGAGGAGGGAATGGCTTTAAACTGACAGAGGGGAGATTTAGATTAGATACAAGGAAGAAGTACTTCCCTGTGAGGGTGCTGAGGCACTGGCACAGGGTGCCCAGAGAAGCTGTGGCTGCCCCATCCCTGGCAGTGTTCAAGGCCAGGTTGGACACAGGGGCTTGGAGCAAGCTGCTCTAGTGGAAGGTGTCCCTGCCCGTGGCAGGGGTTGGAACTGGATGAGCTTTAACCAGTCTGTGATTCTGTATGTCCAGATCAAGTCAAATATAAGAGAGTCCAGATCCTTAACTTGCTCAAAATATTTTTACTGACAGCCATGCCTCAGATTAAACCTGTGTCATCTTTACTTTTAAGGTCATGGGCCATTTTCACACATGTTTGATGGAAGATTTATTCCACTCACTCGTCCAGATTGGAAGTGGAAGGTGGGCTTTTCATTATTAAAGTAGAAAACTGATTTTTTTTTAAAGGGAGAATAATTAATCTTTAAAAACTGCCAGTGCTTCTGAGAATATAGGTGTCATCTAGGCTTTTCTTACTGCATCGTTTTGATGGCATACTTATAACCCAGAGTGTCGTCTTCTCATCATGTGGTGATGCCCTTGTTCCCTGTTTCTTTGGGGAACATCAGCCCCCTCCAGCATGGCCATGAGCAGATGCAGCCTTACTAGCAACACAGAAGGAGGTGCTGGGCGAAGGAAGCGAGGGCAGGCGCTTGTCACCAGCATCCCTTCCCTGGAAGTACAGATGCTCTTGAGCTCCTGTGTGCTTTCATGAGACCTCCTTGTGCACACGTCCTCTTCCTGCAGATGTCACACTGGGTGACACGGGGGAGAAATGAAATCCTGGTCTTACCAGTGCCTGTAGGGTGACTCTGACGAGGCAGCAGCGTGCGTTAGGGCTGCACTGATTTCAAGCCAGCATTGGGCCTTTAAATGCGTCTTGTGAGCTTTACCCTGAATACATTTTACAAATGCAAAATACCAACAGGGAGCTTGTTTCCAGTTTTTAGTTCAAGGATATTTAATACAGTGTTTAGAATTCAACCTTTCAGAAACTTTGAAGGGTTTCAAGGGTTCTTTGCTGTGAAGGAAGGGCCTTTCACGCCTTGCAATTACTAAGCAGAATCAGCTGAGTAAACTTGTTAATCTTCTGCACAGTAGAATTGGTTATTTTGTCTTTCAGCATTGTAACTGTCTTACTGCTGTTTGTTAGAATACAGAAGTAACAGCTCTATGCTGAACAGTGTGTGTCCTGGTTGTTTCGATAGCAAATGAACAGAAAATAACCCAGGTGCTGCACTTGGACCCCACCATGCCCAGGTGCCCTGCCAGGCACTGCTGCTGGCTTAGGAGAGAGCTGTGACACTGCAGGAAAGATGCTTAAGCTTTGTGATGCAACTTTTAGGTGTTGGTTTGGGTTCTTTTCACAGCATGAAACTGCTTCTGTTAAAATGTTTGAGCACCTGATTGCTTCCAATAAACTAGAAGAAGTCATGGAGTCGTATGGTCTTGTCCTGGAAGAAGATATGGCCTTCATTAAGGAACAAATAGGAGGACCTACAGATGAAGCCGCATGTGAGATATTGGTGGGTCAGCGTACTGGTCCTGTGGTTATCCCAATGAATGTCTTTAATTTTACTGAAAGAGTAGATAATTTCTGCTTCTGTATTTAGCCCCATGAGTATCCTGGCACAAGAGATGTTGGGGAAGTGTAATGGTTATTTCTTATCATGTTGGTAGGAGCTGAGAGCCTCACTGTGTTACTTGGCCTAGCTCTTCTTCAGAAGCTCTTACCTCCAAATCTTCAGATTAGAGGACAGCTTAAGAATGTTACTTGAGTAGCTAGATTGGTAGAACTGCATTTTTAACCAAAATCTTAAATGACCAGATCAGGATAACAGCCTGTTTACTGGAACCTGAAGGTGGTGATGGCAGGTCGTGTTTTCAGGTGGCCATATGAAGAAAACATGGAGGTAGTTTAGGGGGACAAGCTGATAATAGATAACAAAACTGAGAACTGGCAGAGATGAGGCAATGAGCAATCCAAAGCATGGCCCAAGTGGCAGAGCCACATCAGTAGCAAAATGCTTGGATTCATTGCAGTAACAACCACAGAGGCGGGGTTAAGACTTGACAAATGTGTTGCCTCAAGGGGCAAGGCAGAAGAGACCGTGATTATTAATTCATTCATAGAGTTGCAAGGATTAAGTCCTTTCTCCTCACTTTACAGCTCTTGTCATCTCTTCAGGGGCACCCATTCAGTTGCTACCAGAATTAAGAACCCATCAGTGGGAGGTGTGTCATGACAGTCTGGTCCTAATCAGAATCTGTGTGTTGTCCCAAATGAATAACCCACAAATGTTAGCACTTACCCATCATTTTCTGCTGCAGTAGCGCGCAGTTCAACCATGTGTACTCCAGCAATCGGATGACAAACACGGGGCGCTTGACATAATAGAATTCATTCTGAGATCTTACAGGAAGAGGATATTCATTTACAGAGGTTGCAAGTTAATGTTTACCCACTCCTGCTCATTTGTACACACATCTTGCTGCCTGCCACTTCCACTGATCTCGTGCCTGGTTCCTACCCTATGTCTGCTTTTCCTTGGTTGGATTCTGTGTGTGTTTTCCAGGAGGATAAAAGGAAAAGGAGTGTCAGATAAGATACATGGCAACCTTCTTGCCACCCTCCTGCTGTTGGGCTGCAGGGTCTTCCACTGGCAGCCATTCTTATGTGTTGCACATAGGTGATGCCCTGAACATTGTCCCAGTAGCAGAGCATTTTGTGATCAGTACAGGATGGTTTTAGCTGTGATGCGCTTTCTTCCCGCTGCTTGCACGTTTCCATTGTTACTCATATCAATTTGAATAGTTCTGTAACACAGATAACATGACAGCCATTTATCTGCTTGTGTACAAGAGAATCATGACATTTTCAAGGAAGTAATGTTTCTGTGCAACTTGTATCTTGTTATTTTGGCATTGATTTCCTGTTTGCCTCATGGCAGAGTTATCCCTGGTGGGCTGGGAGTTTAAGTAGCCGACTGTTGAAACAATTTTTGTTTGAAACATCTTAGTAGTTGTTTTAAAACTGATCTATAAGGTTGTGTAGTTGATTGCAGAAGACTGCAAGACAGTGACATGTTTATGGGTTTACCTAGTTCCCTGGGGATTAAATGATTCCAGCCTTTTCCCCTCTTTGTTACTTTAGTGGAACGGGAAGTGAAGTACTTGTGTACATGGTTTTTATTCTTGCTGGTATTCTGGGATGTCAGATGCTTAAGCCCTGGTTGTGGATTTCTAATGCCAGACAGCTTCTGAAAGCACTTTTCATAGAATCCTGGAATAGTTCGGGTTGGAAAGGACCTTAAGATCATCCAGTTCCAACCCCCCTGCCATGGGCAGGGACACCTCACACTAGACCGTGTCACCCAAGGCTCTGTCCAACCTGGCCTTGAACACTGCCAGGGATGGAGCATTCACAGCATCCCTGGGCAACCCATTCCAGTGCCCTCACCACCCTAACAGTAAAGAACTTCCTCCTTATATCCAATCTAAACTTGCCCTGTTTCAGTTTGAACCCGTTGTTTAAATGTGAACTTTATTATCTTTGCTACCTCAGTGTTGGATGTTTATCACAGGCAAAATCAAAATGTGTTCCCCTGATCTTTAAAAATAGCTCTGGCATTGTTTGCACACTTTAATTTCTTATTGTTTCTGATTGTGCTTTTTCCTTCTTGGCTCCTCTCTTAGTGGCCCTACCGTGGTCGACCAAAGGAGAAAAGTTTCCTGTATGAGGTAGTAGCTAACAAGAAAAATGGCATTGACGTTGACAAATGGGATTATTTTGCCAGGTACAAATCCTTCCACATTTGTTATGAATTCCCACTGAAATCATGCTCCTGTATGTACAAATGTGACCTCCTTGTTAAACACTCTCTGTGGGATATTTCTAGGGATTGCCATCACCTAGGAATCCAGAATAATTTTGATTATAAGCGGTTACTTAAATTCATTCGGGTCTGTGAAGTAAAAAACCAGAGGCACATCTGTACCCGTGACAAGGTGAGTGTGAACAGAGGGGATGCTCAGCAGCAAAATGTGTGTGAGGTAGAGCAGGACACTGAGAACATATGGGGCATGGCAGAGCCTGGCTGGGCAGCGTGCTACGGCTGCACACTGTATTGCAGGGGGTGCAGGGGTTGTCTGCTGGATGCTTTTTTAGCCCAGGAGTGGAAGATAGAGTTGCTGCTCTGAAAAGTGTTCTCACAACTGGTTTAAGGAAACAACTGGTTTAAGGAAGGGAGGGACAGAGCAAGCCTCTGTTTGAAAGGGTTTGTGGCATATCCTTCCAGGGGAGACTTTGGAAAAGCATCATCTGGGCATGATCCTGCTCCAGGTCTTCTGAGCAAGAGGGGAATGTGACTTAGGGCCTGCAGAAGGGGGATGCCCTCTTCTTTGAGCTGCCTGGCTCACTGTCAGGCACTGTGAAAGATAACCGTTCTGCTCTATGCAGCAAGAGGAAGGAGACAACTCATTTGGTTCCTTGATTGTGGTAGTTTTCCAGTTAAGGTGATGTCAGAAGTAAAAGGTGGTTGTTTTTTTTTTGATTCAGGAAGTTGGAAATTTGTATGATATGTTCCACACACGGAATTGCCTGCACCGGCGAGCGTACCAGCATAAGATTGGCAACATCATTGAAATAATGCAAGTATTATACTTCCCTTTTCTTGCATTCTGTTTATCTTTGGATTCTTGTAACTGTGTATCTGTTTGGAATACTGAGATCATCAGTAAAGTGTGACATAGAAAATAAGCCACTTGGTTGTAGAGCCAGGGTGTGCTTATGCTGTTTTAACTGCAGATAGCTGCAGGTCAGATCTTAAGCTTCAGGTCAGAGTGTGCTTAGCTCAAACTGGCTGCTTACTAACAGAGTAAAGTAAGGAGTAAGCTTAATGCAGCTCAGCTGAGGCCTGACATTGTCTGTGTTATGCCACAGCATAGCAGTTCTGGCTACCTGCATTTGTACCTCTCTTACTGATGTCTGCAGAAGTTTTTTACTCAAAGGCAGAAAGCTTAGCATCCCCAGAGATATTTTCATTGGGATCTTGGGTGCCTAGTTACCCTCTGCTGAGTCTGGAACAAAAGAACACAGAGGGTTACACAGTACAAGAGTGATTCATGACTGCTTTAGTTTCATAAACTTCAGCTCCTGGCTTAGAGATCCTCTAAAAGACTAAAACTGTCAAGGTTGGACAGTACCAACATGTCAGGAGTAAAACAGCCAAGAAATGTACTTCTTGGCTTACCATAGCTCCAGCAGCCTATCCAAATGAGTGTAGGAGCTGGAAATGACAACGGAGTACAGGGAACTGTGGGAGAACTTGATCTTTGAAACAGCAGTGTTTCCCACCTGTAACATACCATGTGTTCATGATGCTTCACCTTTACAATGCTTTGTATTTTCTCTGTTAACTTCTGGAGTCTGTAAAAGGCTATGGTCATCTGTGAGGCAGCCTCATTGCAGCTGCGGGGACTGTGTCACTGTCTTGCAAGGTTCTGTAATCATCTAAGCAATGTTAAACACAGTCTGCAGCAGAGCAAAACGCTCGTTCATTGACAGAAGGTGAAGGTCTGATCTGAACCTGTTTTCAGTAACTGGAAATACTCTGTTGACATGTGCAATGACAGCGTGGAGATAGGACATGTTGCAGTGCGTCAGGGACTGCTGTGTGCTTGGGATGCAGTTTCATCTGTCATATTTATAATGTACTAATCCATTTCTCTGTTGACTCTTGAGCAGTAAGGTGTTTCAAAATGGTGCTATCCTTAAGTCTTACTTTTGTCTCAAACCAGGATTACAGAAGCCCTTCAAAAAGCAGACAAGTTTTTTAAAATAGAAGGCTCTGGAGGGAAACAGTACCAGATTTCCACAGCAATGGAGGACATGGAGGCCTACACTAAGTTAACTGGTATGGGCTCTCAGAATTCTTTTGTGTTTGAGTGAAACAACATGAGTACCCATTAAAATGCTGTTTTGACAGCTGTTGGCACAGTGGGTCATTGCCCACACCTAGGACTCTAAAACACTGCTTTTGTGCACAGATGATGGGGCAGATCTGGACCATCCAGTCTCTGAGCATTCACATCTTGCTGGGAGAGCAACACCTTCTCGTTTAAATTACTTTTATGTTGAGGGAGAGAAAAGCACCAATTTCCTATGTTCTGCACACATTCAGAGTATTACAGGCAGTGCTGTCAGGAGTAATCCTGCTTGTGTCCTGAGTACTTGTCACACATGGGATGTACGTCAGTGATAACTACATGTAGTTAGTTGAAACTAACCCCAGGTTTCAAAGGGCTCTGATGGGGTCCAATTTGATTTGCTTGAGACATGGCTAGCCTGGTTGCAAATGTAACAGGAGAAAACAATATATGAACATCTTAGTTTATTGCTCTGGTTGCTCAGGTAAGAGCTTGTTGTGAGAATGGCTCTTGTAGGGTAAGTACATGGAGCAGCAGCCTGCTTGAAGACAAGCGGAGGAACTCCAGTGTGATTACAGAGAGAAGCGAACACGAGCTGAGACTTGTGATGTTTTCCCATTTCTCAAGGTCTGGCTCAGTGCTGTGAAGAGGAAACACAGAGAACTTACTTAATTCTTAGTCACAGAAACTGGCTTGAGTTGTGTTGTGTCCTCTGTCAGTCTGTCATTTCTCATGGAGAAGTACCTGGCTTTGATCAGCCTTGTCCATAGAACCAACCTTCAGTTAAAGGTGTTGGGTACATGGTTCATAACTTGCTTCTGGAGTGTGTTGGTTGCTTCTTAAGCCAGTTGTGGTCCTAGGCAGGATGTTGCAGCACGCGTCAACGCTGCCTGGGGTATTTTTGGCTGGGAGTGTGAATAGACACGGGTGCAGCTGTGTTGGTTGTGAGAGGCATCCTGACAGCAGCAGCATCCTGACAGCAGCAGTCTCTTATGACAGCCAAAAATAACTTCTCTGCCCTGAAGCCACATCAAAAGAGACCTGTGTCTTACTGCTCCTCTTGATGGTGGGAAACACACTGAGTACTTCACTGTCATGTGGAGACAGGAGGGGGACTTTGATGCTAGCAGCTGAAGTCTGAGAAATCCGGAAGGTTTAATGGAAGTACTTTATTCTTTTACATGATAGAGCACCCTGTCCAGAAGCTGGGTAGTGCTGGGGCTCAGAATATTCTGCTGAACAAGACTGGCTAAATAAGAACTGGAAGCAGGTTCAGTGATAAAACTCGTTGCAGGGGGGAGAATTGAGCTGGTTTTATTGCCAGCTATTATGACTCTGGTGATGCTGTGACTTGTCAGTTGTCAGGCTCCGTGTTCAGTCACTCTCTGAAAGCGAGTGTGTTTCCAGAACCAGCAGTGTTTGTTGTTGCTTTAACCTTTGTCCTTGTACGCATGTTTTGCTGTGACCCTGCCTTGTGACACACTTAACAATCAGTGCAACTTTGGCAGATAACATCTACCTGGAAATTCTGCACTCAAGCTCTCCAGAGCTGAAGGAGGCCCAAGAGATCCTGCGTAAAATAGAACGACGTGAATTATACAAGTTCTTAGGAGAGACTCAGCCTGAAACAAGGAGTGAAGTTGTACAGGTAATGTCCATTGCTGAAAGAGCCTGGATTCTGTCCCTGTAAAAATGTTCTTGAAGTGGCTGACCACCTTTTTATCTTGTCTCTGTATGGGTTTGGTGTGGGGTTTTCTTTCTCTTTCTTAAAGTATAAGGTTAGAGAATGACCACCCGATGTCTTACTGCTCTGCTCCTCCTTTTGTTCGAAGAGGTTTGCTTGTGTTCTTTCAGCTAAGCACAAGTGTTGAGAGATTCTGTATTAAAAAAAGTAGGAGGAAATAAGAGGAAGGGAAACATGAAATGGTTGTACATTGATAGTCAAGTTTCTGCCCTTATGTGAAGGAGGGGATCAGGATAGCAAGCCTGTTCAAGATAGTTGCTTGTTTCAGTAGTATTGGAGGCTCAACTTCCTCCAATAGGACATAGTGTCTGTCCTGCTCCTTAAGAGACCATAATGCCATTATGGTTAGAATCAGAACAGTTTGAGTTGCAATGGACCCTTAAAGGCCACCTAATCCAACCCCCTGCAGTGAGCAGACACATCTTCCACTAGGTGAGGTTGCTCACAGCCCTGTCTGGTTTTGCGGTCCTCAAGCCTGGCCAGAGCCAGGGGAACATCCCAGGTACAGAATTCTTAAGTTCAGAGCTGGGTTTCCTGTTAATGCATACTGGAAGAGGTAACTTTCAGAAAAGGACAACCAAACAGTAGCAAAGAAAAAGGAGAAAGTTAGCATGACATGGAGGTTGTGAATGCTCCATCCCTGGCAGTGTTCAAGACCAGGTTGGACGAGGCCTTGGGTGATACGGTTTAGTGTGAGGTGTCCCTGCCCATGGCAGGGGGGTTGGAACTAGATGACCTTAAGGTCCTTTTCAACCCTAACTATTCTGTGATTCCATAATTCTATGACACATCTGATTCGGAGTAGAAATAGAACAGCTTACAAACAAGCTGCCTCCTGCCCGTTGCCTCCTGGCAATTCTTTCCTCTAGGTTTGCTCTCAGTCTAAACCTTTTCTTGGCTTCTTGAGTCACAACAGATCACACACGTACCTCAGCTTGGCAATGTGTGTGATACCCTGCTCTTCAGAGCAGTCTCCCTTTCTTTGCAATGGACAAATAATGTCTTTGCAATGGACATAAAAAATTCCTTCCCTTCTGGACCTGGGTGCTCTGTGCTGCACTTGAAGCTTTTGTGGCTAGAACATTTGTGGCTAAGGTATGAAAGGGTTCAAGCAATCAGGTTGCTGCGGGAAGAGTCTGTCAGGCTAGGAAGAAATGAAAGCTTTAGTTTAGTGACACGTTCTGTCATGCTCTTTGTTGCCTTGGTCTAGACCTGATAGTGCGTAAATGTAACCTGCGTTACTGTCTTCATTTTTCAGAACAATAGCCTGGCAGAAAGCATTGCTAAATCCAAGCCAGAAAAGGATCCTCCAGATGTGGAACTGAAGGCTGAAGATTTTGTAGTTGATGTAAGTATCTCTTGGAGCAGGTTCAGAGTCAAAACTTCTCAGTGACAGAGGCCTTGTGTGCCATGGTGAAAACTGGAGTTATGTTTCAATGCATTATTATTGTCCTGTTTCATTAGTGTCATTTACAGAAGTATATCGTGTATCCTTTCATAGGTATTGTGAGAAAGCTAAAGACAAACATTAACAAGTGCCATTTTCTTTGTTTTACATGCAAGGTTATCAATATGGATTATGGAATGAAAGAACAGAATCCCATTGATAACGTTCTCTTCTATTGCAAGGCTGATCCTTCCAAGGCAGTCAAGATCAGTAAAGAGCAGGTAGTCTTTTAATTTGTCTCAACTGGCTTCTAAAGGACATCTTTGCAGCTTGTGAGGATTCCACAACCTCCCCACAACCCCTGCAAGAGCTACCACCAAGGGCTGTACTTGCTGCCATCACGTCTTTGGTGTGCGTTGTGCTAAGATAATCTGTAATCCTGACAGCCTTTGCATATGAACAGTGTTTAACTTGGATACACTGGGAATCCGGGACAAATAGATTTGGATAAAGCTCGTGGATTGTAGTGGGATGTTTTCTACTGCTTTCAGTTTGTTTTCAGATGGAAACATTGAAGTTCAGTGGTCTCTAAATTCCAAGAAATGTTAAAGTGTTTTTTTTTCTTTCATTCCAAAGGTTTCAAAGCTGTTACCCAAGACGTTTGCTGAGCAGGTTATCCGGGTTTATTGTAGAAGTCAGGATCCAGTTATTATTTCAGCTGCAAAACAGTATTTTATTCAGTGGTGCATGAAGAAGAATTTCACCAAACCACCGGTAACAAATTCACTTGTTTTTATTGTTCTTAAAGCTTATTGTCTGTTGGCTTTGTCTTTGTGGCAGAGCCACTCCTCACTAACCTAGCTTCTGGTTTTATTGTGGCTCGTGTCAGGGATGTGCTTCGGTTTCACTGAAATAGTGATAGATTTGCACTGATTTAACTCACTGCTCCTCCAGCAGATTCATGGTCAGTCTCTTTGCTCTGAGTGGAAAATACCTGTGGGAACAAGATTGCAAAACTCTGCTCTCTGGGCAGCTAGTCTGTAGTCCGAGTTGACTGCAAGGCCTCATCTGTTCTCTGCATTGCCCTTTTCTGTCAACTCCCAACATACAAGTTTCCAGCTGTGAGGGAGGAAGAGGGTCTGTTACAGCTCATCTTAAGGTTTGTTTCATTTTGTGTTGGGAACAGCCTCAGAGCTGCCCTGGCAAGTGAAATGGAGACTCTAAAGCACACACTCAGGGTGTCCATGCATCCTGAGTCCATGCATCTTGCTTTGCATTCCTCCTGCCAAAGGAGGTGGAGAAGCCTGTACCAGTAGTGGCTGTAAACTGGTGATGTGTGATACAGCATCCCCATTACATCCCCCTTCATTACAAGAAGGTGGGCACCTTCATCTAAAAACAATTACCATTCACTGATAGTTCCAGTATAACCATCCCTGTAGGGAAGCATTTACAGTTACATCAGGTAAGCTTGTCTTCAGTAGAAAATGCTCCTGGAGCCACTCCACTACATGTGTGAGTTGTCTTACGGCATACTTTTGGCATCAGTCTTTTGAGAGCAGTTAAATTCAGAAGGGCTTTTTGCAAATGCATCGAGCAACAGGCATTCTCTGCTTGTGGCTTGTAGAGTACAGTTGTGTCCTGTAAGCGTGTTCTGCTTCAGGCATATCCATCCTGAAGGCCTTGGCATGTTGCAGGTCATCACAACACGCATCTCACCAGCTTATTTCTAAGCTTAGAAAGCATATTGTTCTCTTGTCTGTGTTTGCCTGAGTGCTTCTTATATATATATATGTATATATATATATATATATACACACACATATATATGTGTATGCACCTGGGACTGATGGGTTGCAGCACTTTTAAATGAGGAACTGTGGCAAATTCAGAGAAAACATGTATAGTAATGTCTCTGATTCATGTACCAATGCCCAAACTACCAGCTTGCCAGCGCTCCTAACAATGCAGGAAGCAGAGATCTGTTAATGGTGAAGGATCCTCTCATAGGGTTTGGTTGTTTTCTCCCCACCACTGAATGGTACCACTGCATCTTCGGGATGCAGCCTTCAGTGTTGGTTGATTTACAATGCTTCTAGGACCAGGGATTTTATTTACTTGTTTATTAGTAAGTCTGATGCTGAGCTTCCTTTCCCCTGCTTTAGGATAGAAGGCAAAAGTGGATGTGCTATCATTAATGTTTTCTGACTTTCAATAACAGGATAGTGATGTGGTTGCCCCTCATCTAATTCCAAATGAAAGAAAGCTGGAATAATGCAAGGGATGATGGACACAGGCCAACTCCAGAACCCAGCTGTGAACAGAAGCTTCCTTTTGATAAGTAACCCTTGTCCTTTTAGCACTATTCAGTCTGCCTCTTCAGAAGATGAGTAAACGTGATCAGCAGCTCCTTTCAAAGCCGGTTGGATGGACTGTAAGAATTGGTTGCACAATGCAGAAATGCATTTTACCATACAGTGTGTTTTAACGTGGGTATTTAAAGTGCATATTCCAAATGAACTTTTAAAAAACCAACTACCTATTACAGCAGACTCAATCCTTGTTTATTTTTGAATGTATTGGCACTGTGTAGCGAGAGTAACTTCAAACACTGCAATTCATTGTTAGTACAAGAAGTGCTGACTGCACGTTACTGTTCCTGCCAGTCCCCATCGCTCCTTAAGATGATTGTGATACTGCATGAACAGGCAGAAAAGCTCCCAGCTCAGGGGTGGGTTTTTTGGGTTGTTTGGGTTTTGTTCTGCAATACGTGAAGAAGAGAGGAGTAAATATGGTCTGAAACCCCCGTGCCGTGGCAGAACATTGACGTAACCTTAAACGGCATCTTCATGAGTAGTAAAACCAATTTCTTCATAAAGAAGAACATAAAAGGAAGGGAGAAGAGAATCTTTTTAATAACCAAAGATTACTTTTCTGGTATTCCAAAAGCTGATGAAGATGCAGGTGTCTTGCTCTAAGTGTGACACAGTTCCTATGGAAGTAACAATGCATTGCAGTGACATGCAGCCTTTTGTTCTTTTATAGGGTATTTTTGATACATTGAATGTTATATTTTTCTCACTGAACTGCAGAAGCTGCTCAAACCGTCCATTGTTTGAGTGCCTGCAGGAGAGCAGAGCTACCTGGATGCTTGTCAGGGCAGCCAGCTATGTGTCCTGGGCACGGTCAGTGCATCCCACAGGATGCTGCACTGGTGCTGCTCGTCCTTGCTCCAGTTCTGCATTATGCTCGGCAGGCTCTTCAGGTATTCTTCCATTCTTGCATCCCTTCCTTTGTCCCCTGCATCTCTGATTGCTGTTCCTGTGTCATTTTTCTCTCCCTTGTAGAACTATAAGGGTTTTTCCATTTTGACCTTACTGGCAGTTCTCCTGTGAGTATTGCCAAGTGTCCGTCCAGTTGGAAAAGTGAGCGAGGAAGACCTTTTCCCTCTCACCTTTTACTCAGGTTGAAGAGGGAGGCTGCTTTCAGTAAAGAAAAAGCTAAAAGCTCGAAAAAGCCCACCCTCAAACCTGAAATGGCAAATGGAACGGTTCAGAAACGCTCAGGAACTGGAACAAGCTTTGGCTTTTGGGGTGTGGGGAAGGCAGCGATCAGCGCTCTGTTCTGCAGGGTTAGTTTCTGCAAACTAACACAAAGGGAAGTCCCCGTGAGAGAACCTCTGAGCTCTCTTCAGATCATTGCATTGCCTTTGCCCTTCTTATCACGGGAACTGGTAGCCGTTGGGCAGAGGGAGGATGAGCATCCATGTGCTCAACTCAGGTTTCGTTTGTTTCAATAACCAGACGTTGGTTTGTGCTCTGCTGTACCTGAGCTCATGTCTAAAGGTGATGGGTGCCATGCAGCCTCTGCTGTTCATCCTCAACAGTATTTCACATCTGCAGGTGTACCAGGTAGCTACTGGAAGGCGGCAGGACCTCTGTAAAGGCTTGTAAAGAACTTATTATGCTTCAAGAACGAACATCATAAAGGCATTTGTCTCCCTTATCTGCATAAAATCAAGTATTGTTCAGCACAATGTAATTTTGTTATTGTTGCTTGGGTTTGTTTTGAATCTGTTGTAAAAGGTGCACTTTATACTTGGGAAATATCTTTTGCTTACGTTTAAGCAGAAATTCATACTTAAGTTTTGCATTTCTTTAACATGTTAATCTGAGCCTCTGTGGACTGAGATTAGATTTATAAACAGTGATTTTATTATTCTTTTAAGGATTCGCAGCGTGTGGACTTTGTGTGCTTAAGACTGTTTTAATAGTTACAAACAGCCCCCATGTATTTCTATAGGACAAGCACTGCACTGTGGCAGTGCAGGTCTTGAGGTGGTTTCTGATCCTATGGGAATGGTACCAGCAGTGGAGACAGTGCAGCTGCCTCCATCCTCCAGTGCCCAGGCTGGCTTTAGGCCCTGCTCCAGCTGTTGTGTAGGGGAAGAAGGGAAAGTGAAGTCCTGCTTGATCAACCTGATCACCTCAGATCACTGCTGCAGAGGCCGGCGTGGGTTTGGAGCCAGCACTGGATCAGACTGGGATGCAGGTACCCAGCCTGTGGTGGCAGCTCCTGGAGCAGGTGGGATGCTCCTGGGGGGATGAGTGGCTGTGTCACCCCCAGACTGGGTGTCTCTGAGTGTTGTTCACAGGCAGACTTTAAGCTGGACCTGCTGGTGTGTGTGTGTGGTGCTCGGGGGGCAAGAGAGCTGGGATGTGGGCAGGGGGCCGGGCAGATTGAGGCTGTGTTCCCGTGAGGAGCTCCAGCAGTGGGGCAGGAACATCCTGGGCTGGAGGAGGCAGCAGCTCCTGACACCCTTCAGCCCCAAGGCCACTTGTTTGCCCTTCCCACCCCTGTGTTTGCTTCCAGACCCCCTCATGACCTCTCCATGTGTCTCTCCCTGTCTCCTAGAGCCCCATCTCCACCCCCAAACACTGAGCACAGGAGGTGTCTAAAACTGCAGTTTATTATGCTCCTCTTACACAGCCAGAGGGGCCAAGCGCGGGGGCTGAGCTGGCCTTGGATTAACACCCCCCAAAGCGCCAGTAGCAGTGCAGTAAGGCAGAAGTTTTAACTGTCCAGAAAGAAAGATGTGTTCACATAAGGGACAGTTCCATCTCTCAGGTGCTCTGTACCAGCCATGGTTTGATATTGTCACATTGCCAGCCCTTAGGGTCAGTAGGAAGCTGCCTGCCTGCTGCCCCTATGCCAGCAAGAGGCTTTCACCCTGCAGTTACTGCTTCTCAGTGCCACCACGCAATGAGCAGAGCAGGAACGTGCCTGAGGTTCACATTCATGGGGGCAGCAGGAGCAGGAGGCCTGAGTGCAGACAGATGGGAGCCATGGGGAAACCAAGGGGTGCTTCAGTGGAGGCCTTCACGCACAGCCAGCAGACACCACTGCTCTGCTTGCAAGAGGGTAACGCAGGGTAGTGTGTATCCCGTAGTGTTAAGTGGCTGTGGAAAACCTGGAGCCCAACTACTGCACAACAGCAGTGGCTGAGGCTCCTGGATTTGGTCTGGGGACCTCAGGGGAAATGCTGGCAGCTCCTGGTCCTTAGCTGGGGCAGGCAGTTTGTGCTCTCCACATCCAGGCAATCACAAAGCTGCAGTGTGAGCCCTGCACCGCCAGGCTATCTACCTTACAGAGAGGAGGAGCAGCAGGATTCTGTCTGCGCAGTAGTGCCTTCTTTGGGACCCTGTAATGCTCCTGTCTGCAGCTCCTGAGATGAAGGTGGCTGTTGCTCCAACAGGATACAGCAGTTACCTCGTGCCCACCCTGCCTTCCACCCCAGTTCCAGTTCTTAGCAGGGTCTGAGCACCAAGATTATTACCTGTGGCCGCAGCTCCAGCCATCCTCCTTCCGACAGGTCAGTCAGCCTTGGTCACCCATTTGTTTCACCCACTGCACCTGAGCACACATCATTCTTCCAGATCCCACTGCAGTAGAACCAACAAATGGCTCCTGCAGCCAGAGCTTAGGAACCAGGTACCCAGAGATTGCCTTGTGCCAAGCAGGAGCATTAGTGGTCAAAGCAGTGAAGGGGAAATTTCCTGGAGAAGCAAACATCTCCAGAAGCAGTGACAGTGAAGTGAACAGTTTATGGTCTGAGCTCTTTCCGGACCAGAGATGCAGCCCTGGTTTGAGCTCAGATGCTTTCTCCAGTTCCTGCTGGACTGCCCCGAGGTGATGGCTGAGGTCGTCGTGAAAAGCACAGCTTAGGGAAGAAGGGAGATGCTCCAATGGATGCACTGCAGCTCCTACTTGTAGCTCTTAGTCTCTGCACTGAGCCCATAGCTCAGGAGGGTATTCCCAGAAGAACCTCAGCCCTTTCTCTCAGCAGGCATCATTCCCAAAGTTAGACCTCATTCAGGGAACCTTCCCCACCCACCCCACACATCCCAAGCTTTGCATGTTCCTTAGAGTGGTCCATGTCCTGGGAATGGTGGGCACAATCCTTACTTCAAAACAAGCATGGCTTCTGTCCCATCTGGCCTTGTCAAATGGAGTCCATGACTGAGGTAGTATTCCCGCCGGAGGAAGGCATAGAAATAGTCAGAGACGAGCAGGATCTGCAGAAGCAAGATGTTCAGACACATCAGTGATGCTCCAGAACCAGGGGTAAAAAGGGAATGCATTTGTGATGGACCCTGATGGGGTTTAAGACGTTCTTGGGCTGTTCAGCACACTTTGTGAGAGGAGACATTGAATCTATGAACACTCCTTGTCCCCTGCCTTGCACTATTAAGCCAAGGAAGACTTAAACTAACCTATTTGTTGCACTACCACCATGTTGTCACAGGCATGTCCACTAAGGAGACAGCAGCTCCATAAATTGGATTGTTAGGCTATAGCTCAAATACTGCAAGAACTCCTTCCCATTAGTGTGCCAGAACGTGAGGTGAGATTTCAGCAGGAGCAAGGAGAGGCAAGAAGCTGCCACGCACAAACTACACAGGATGCAAAGAGCCAGGCACATCCTGCAGAATTCCCTGTTGCTGACAGGCACCCGATGCAGTGACCTACCCTAAGTGCAGCCTTGTTTTACCTCCTCGCTCTACTGACCTGCCCTACGTTGAAAGTCAGCGTGATGGCGTAATAAAAATTGGAGTTGGCACTTCCTGCATAAATCCATAGATGCCATAGAACAGGGAACAGGAGGGAGCAGACAATGAGCACACAGGACAGGATGAAGGTGTTCCGGAGGACTGCAAAAGAAAACCAAGCTGTTAAAATGATGCATTGCTGAGCAGCCATGCTCACACAACCAGCAATGGGATTTAGGGGATATGCAATGGGGCAGGGGCACTTGCCAGCACACACTTCTCTCCACTCATCTCTCATAGTTTGCTTTAATAATGCCCTGCCCCTGGCTAGCGTTTTGTAAGAAACCCACTATACTTCCCTTTGAAATAAATACTTGTGCCTTTGCTTGAGTGTGAAGTCAGTGGTGGCATTGTCCTTCCAGGTCCTGCTTTCAAACGCTCCTCCTCAGGGCTTTGGCATTTTAGTGCCTATACTACAGCAACAGTTTTGAGACGGGCCTTTCACCAGCATCACAATTCAGAGAGCAGAGCATGCCATTCCCTAGCCTCATCAAGGGAAAAACCCAACCCTCTGAGCTATAGGAAAAGAGAGACTTTCCTGGGAGGTGGTAACGAAATGAAAGCACCATAAAAGGAGGAAACTCATCCAGGCCAAATGCACTGACACACAACCTCGGGAGGTGCAACTGAGCGTGAAGAGAATCCATCAGTCTGTGTGAGTATGTGTTAGATAGAGCGAAAACAAGCACAACTTTGTCTAAAAGAGCCAGTAACTGTCAGGCCAGAAGAGATTTTGGCATCTGTGAACTGTTTCTGCTGTCCTTTGGCAGGTCAAAAGCAGTTACTTAACACTGAGGAAAAACACAGTTTCCAAATCCCCCCCCCCAATGTAGTGGGTTCTAGAGTGAGGCTGAAAATCATTAGGAAGCTCTCTGGTGCCTTACAGAGCTAAAGAGATTCTTTATGAAGCATTAAAGAAAAACCAGACAATTGCTCAGAGTAATTCAGTTCCTGTCCCCCTAAGCAAACAAGCAGATGCAAAACAAAGAACTGCAAGGTGCAGGGCTTCACTGCTGGGGACTCCCCAGTTGCAGGAGCAGTGTTCAGATTACACAGCCTTCAATGGCAGTGAAGCTCTGAACGATGGATGTACTTTAAATAAGCCACATCCCTTGTGCAGGACTCTAAAAGGTTCTTACAAAAGAGCTGATCTTCAGAACAACTTGGAGGGTAAAGGTACAAGTGAAAATTCCCTCCTAAACCAATTTCAGCCCTGACCCTGAAGACATGTTGGAGACTATATCACCATTTAAAAGCAACCTCCTTTCAGACAGCCCAAGGAGGCCACAAGAGCTCGCAGACATGGGCCTGCTTTGGTTTGGTGGTGATGATTATTGGACAGGCCCTTTCTCATCCCAGCTAAAGAAAAAATCAAAGACAACTTACATCTGTAAAGGTGGTTCCAGACGGGAAGGAAGGCCATGTACAGTGCAACATCTCCCACAGTGGGATAGGACTTGAAGATGGAAATGATTGCGATCTGGACAAACATGAAGAACACAGGGTGCTCCCTAGAAGGAAATAGACACAAAGGATAAGAGGATGCAGTAGAGTCTGGAAATGGGAAATAAATATCCTAAGGGGCACAAATGCACTGTGGATAGGCTTGAAGAGGCTCTTGTCCCTTGTTCTCTTTAAACGAGCCTCCGAATGCTGGGTGGGACAGACTGAGCAGCTCTGCAGAGAAGCAGGACAAGGATTTCAGAGGAACAGATTGAAACTTTGGGAAATGAGGAGGACAGGACCTATTAAAAATCTTCTTCAGGTGTGTAGATCCAGACATCTGAAACCAGACTTACAAACCTCCACCAGACAACTGAGAACAGAACAAAACTAGCAGAGAAGCATACTTACTTTAGCTTTATTGCCAAGGGAATGGTGTAGAAGAACACATTGATTTGAAACACGCATACGAAGAAAAGACTAAAGTGTTCAAACATCTCTGCAAAGAAGTACCAGAAAAGGCCAATATTGGGTGTCAGATCTGGAACAGAAAGGCTGAAATTTGAAAAGAAAAGTCAAGGTAACAT